TGAATATTGGATAGGTGAGAAGAGAGAAAATTGGTGAAAGAATGAAGTTTTTACAAGATCTTGTACCTGGCTGCAATAAAGTAAATAGTGCTTTTACTTGCTTTATTTATTATTGATGACATGGACATTTTTTACCTTTTTCCGTTGATTTTAAGAGAAAATATACAAAATTTTGATATGGTATTTTCATTTTTTTTATTATTATTTAGGTGACTGGAAAAGCTGTGATGCTTGATGAGATTATTAACTATGTACAATCCCTACAATGTCAAGTTGAGGTAAATTACTTGTATTTTATTTTTTGTTTTAGAGTTTTCAAAAATTCGTCGAAAATTGGCTTATTTGTAATTAGCGATTTTTTGATAGTAACTAAGTTGAATTCAATATTTGTGTACTTTCATGTAGTTCCTCTCGATGAAGTTATCTAATATGAATCCAACAACTGACTTCAACGCGGAATCTCTTACATCTAAGAATGTAAGTCATACAACTCATAATATTATTCACACTATTAGTACATTTTAAGTCGTTGTACGTAGTAGCTTAATTACATGCCTTCATTTTTCGAGTTGTTAATCTATCTTGTACTTGATCTGATAGCATAAAATTTCTTTTGCATGTTAGATGTTTCAATCCGTCGGATCGTTGCATCATAACATGAATTCATCAGAATCCACAATACAAGAATTTCCATATGGATTCCAATCTCAACAAGGGCCAAATTTACAGAGTTTCTTACCTAAAGAAACAGAATTTCCATTTAAAGTTAATCCTCATTTGGATGGTTTTGTGGAACAAACACCTCAGGTAATCAAGAATTGCTAGAAACGGTGACCTATGTTGCTCAGACTCTTCAAAAATATTGTCATATCTGTGTCAGATTCCCCGAAAATGCATTACTTTTAAAGATTCTGACACACATTTTCAAAAAGTCCGAGCAACATAGGTTGTAGCAATAATGTTGTAAAAATATTATTTTTTTTCTAGTTTTTCTCTTAAACAAGGTTGATTTGATTTATTTTTTTAGGTTGCAACATTCTTTGAAGATCATGATCTTCATAGTTTTATCCATATGGGATTTGGCCAAATTCAAGCACAGAACTATCCTGGTTAGTATATATATACTCTTATGGATTTAACTTATATACACAGACAACGGAATGATTCTTTACGCTACTTTGTTATGGTCCTCCAAAAATGTATTAGTTCGATATTGCTATACATTTTTGCTTATTAGTCCTCTGTTGTTATGTATTTTTGGAGGATGTGACACACATGCGATAGCATGTTGCTAATTAGTCCTAAGTTTTCATGCATTTTCGGAGAATCCAACACATATTTGACAGTATTTTTAAAAAGTCTGAACAATAGAAAACTAATTACTTGATGAGTGACATAATAGTGTAAATCTAATACTTTGCCTTGTTGAATGTAGGCAATGTGCCCTCAGAACAAATGAAGGCTGAACTATGAAGAAAAGACCATTTGATAAAACTTTAGCATTCGTTTGAGTCGAAAGTCTATTGGAAATAGTCTTTCTATCCTGTAAAGATCGATGGCGTGATGTATGCATACATCGACCTACTCTCTCCAGATCCCTCTTATAGGATTACACCGAGTATGCCGTTCTTTGATTCAAGAAGGGGAAAAAAGAAGATGGAGCTCATTTTTCACTTCCAATTCTTGATTTGTTTAATGGTTACTTTGGATAATCATGATGATTATCATTAATTATTCCCCGTATGGGACTGTTATTATTTAATTAATAGGCAATTTCATACACCACATGGGGTGCATGTTACAACTCAAATTGATCACTTGTAAATTATTTTGTACTTAATTAATTAACATTGTAATTTTTATTATTAATTCATTGAGACTTTATGACATTGAATTTCCTTTTTTATTTTTCTCTGGCACATACCTACATTTTATTTTTGTTTTCCTCTTGGTGTCTTATATTCGTTTTGAAATCCGACTGAAATTTCTACAAAAGGAGACTATATTTATTCATATACACATACATAAGGTGAAAATAAATAACATCACTATACATCTTGCTTTTACTAGTAGTCTTATCTAAAAATTCATGATTCGAAATTTAATACAATTTTTATTATTTTATTATATATATGATATTACGTCTATTTTATATTTCTTGTTCCCTTTATTTCAAGAAAAATAAATGAGTTCTGAGCACGAGGATCAAATCTTCTAATTTCGATTTCGAATTCGATTTGGTCATTAGTTTCTTAATTCTTCAAAAGGAAAAACTAGATACTTATAAAAACATAAGAATTTGCAACAAATTACTAGTTTTTTACAATTAAATTTATTTAACCAATATATGGAAATTTTATTTGCCCCCAAATATTGATAGTTTCATATATGTATATAAAGTTAAACAAATTGATTAATATATTTCATTTTTAAAACACTATAATAAAAATGATTCTAGCAAAAAGAATAAATAAATATATAAATACACATAAATCTTCCTATACTATAAAGTCAACTAGATTGGTGAGAAAAAGGTTGCAATTTTTTTTCCTTATTTAATTAAATTACTTTAATTATTGACTTTGATTCAAACATAGTTATGATGCTTAATCATGGCATTCCGTGATTAACTCCGGAAATAACGAAAACAATTAGGGTCCATAAATTAAAAAAGTATTTAAGAGTTTAAATTTATGCACTAATTAACTAAAAAATATATATTCAATTAATTAAGTCACTTATAAGATAAATACATTTATAAATCTATGTACTCCATAAGCATTTAAAATATTATCTAATAAAAATGATGATTACTCTGTTATCACAAGTTAAACTACGTAAGCTAATAATGCAAACCAACTAAGAAAGTGATTTTTTAACCAGAAAGAAATTGATCAATTTAATAGATTAGTAATATTTTTTTCCTTCAAAAACAATAAAACACAATGAAAAAAGAAAAAAATAAAGTTGGTGAGTGATTATTTACTTAATTAATATCTTCAACATGTCAGAGCAATACGTAGTTAATTAATTACTGTTTCTTCGATAATTATAATTACTATGGCATTATGAATAATTTTTTGGAATTATCATACCTTCTATATCACTTTATATCTCTTTCTTTCAACTTAAGGTTTGGTATGACATTTGACTTTAAAGGGCGGAATGATTGAGATTTTATTACCCTTAATTAGATATCATGAACACGAGTCAAGGGACGAATAACATTTTTTATAGGAAATATTTTACCCGGTCGTTAGATCCTTCGTGGCCTTATTTGGGACAATTTTGATTAATCGTATCGATTAGTTTTGAATGTCAGATACAATAACAATAAAATAGTATCCAATGTAATCTCGTAAATAGGGTCCGGAGAAGATAGGATGTGTGTAGATCTTAACTCTATCTTTGTGGGATAGAGAAGTTATTTCTAATAGACCCTCGGCTCAAAAGAAGAGTATTAGACGTGAGATTGCAAGAAAAATTAAATAATAAACTAGCAAAATATAAAACAACTGCAACAACAGATAGTAATACATATTGAAGAATAAAAAATTAGGTGAACGATAACTAAATAATACTACTTCAAAGGAGAAGAATATAGGAGGCGGCTAGCCCCGGCCTCTTCCACACAAACTAAACTAAAACAATACTCAACTACATATTAACCTTCTACTCAATCTCCGATAATATTCAGCTACCTACTAAATAGCAAACACATCATTTTGCTTTCACCAACTATATATATTTTTTACTCTAAAATTTAATATCATTAATCATTATCAATCTTTCATATCTCTAAGCAATATCTCAAGATTTTGGCTATCTCAAGGTTGATGGAATTTGTTCAAGTAATATATCTTTCTTCTTTATAATATAAAATAAAAAAAACAAGATGATACAAAGTTAATTATAAATCATATCTTGCTCTGACAAGATAAAAAAATGCTTCAACATTAGTATCATTATAAAGATTTATTCTTGTAAATTAATCTATTTGATTGTCTGGCTCCTCCTATGGAATTAATAAAATTATTACATTTAAAACTTAACTGGCCCTACTTTGATGCATGAAGCAAAGTGTATATGTAGAGAATATATGTATCTTTTATGGACCCCACCCCAATCATTTTTTTTTTCTAAATAAGAAGAAAATGGAGATTTTGGAAAATTTGAGATGCTCTTGCACTATAATGTACTCTCTACTTCGATTTATTTGGCTTGATTCAAAGTATGAGAGTCAAACTAATGTTTTTTGTCAATTCAAACATAGAATTGTCGATGTTTTTAATATAAAATTTACATATTTAGAAAATATAAAAAATATTATAAGTCGCAACAATTAAAAATACTAACTTAGAAAGTATTTAGAAAAATTAAAATCAAAGAAAATATCATTTGATTGTCAAAATAGTAACTAAAATAAATAAACTGAAATGGAAGAAGTATATGGTTAAATTGGAATCCCTCCTCTCTTAATTAGAAGTCTCGGAATCAATCCATGAAAATAAAGAATATGTCAGTAGAGACCGTAGAAATAAAATAGTGTCCGCTGACCACTTTTTGGCAATATCATGAAGTTTCAAACTCCACAAGTAGAACTCCATGACAATGTTCTGAAAATTTGAAGCTTCATAACACTTGTTATTTTTCAAATACATGTTGAAAAGTGAATATTTGTGAACTTCGCGAGTAAGTTATCTCTTTCTTAGTGGCCCTCAACATGGATTCAAATTAATCAGGATGATGAACTTTATATATCAGATAATTAATCCAAAAAAAAGAAGAGGAATTGAGACTTTGCAAGACCATAACATGTTATTATTCAATTAATGCTATTATCCAACATCTTTGGACCATCCCAATAACCACAAATAAGCAAATATTATGTCAATTATCTATTTACAATAGCAAGTAAAAGACTAACTAGGAATAGGCCAACAAAAAAATTATGTTAATTAGCTAACCAGCACACCACGATTATAAAAAATAAAATTATGGGCAACGAAGTATGAATCTTCAAAATACAATAGAACAAATTGTTTGGAATTGACTTCATACCTATGAAGCAATGAGTAAATGGATACACAAACTTGATAGATTCAAGTTTGTTATATTCACAATTGTTTATGTTTATCAATAACTATCATCAAATTTGAAGAAAACGCGATAGCTTTTCAAACTATATATGACACTATTATCAATACATACAACAAACAACAATCTATGAAAACTTTCCACAATCTATACATTGCACCTGTCATACCCTGAGAACCAAGAAGAGGGCTCTCCAAATTTTGGTAGATCCTCCTCCTCTTTGGTGTTGTAGAATGACGCGAATTCTTCTTTCCACTGATCATCGTGTCCTGTCTCAGTATTATCATATACGGGTTCTGATGTAGCTTTAGGTAGACGGGGTTCTTCTGGTAAATGGTTTAAACTGTTGATCTCCTCCTCGTGTTTTTTCTTCAATTTGAGAATCTGTTTATTAGCCTCGCTTGCTTCTTTCTCTGCATGAATGGCTCGTTTCTGCATATTTCCAAAACTTGTTAGGCAAATTTAGAAATAGACCAGTGACACAAAATAATAATGTACTTTGAAGGCACATGTATAACACGATACATTGTCCCAGTTTCCTTGTGCATGGGATAAACAGCAAGGTCATACTTCCTGACAAGTCATGTTGCTCCTACGAGTTGATTTAGGTATCGGAGATGCTTCTTTGTTTCTAGAGCATATGTGAACCTTAATCTATGTGTAAACTTATTGTGTGATGTGCAGAGTTCATGCAATGGTCCTCCCTTGGAATATTAATGGAATTTCTTTTACACAAAAAGATGTTGGTCATTCAAGCGCACCGTCTCTACCAATCAATATTGCATCCATTTTTCCTATAACTTTTCAATTAAAGCATTTCCCAGAACTTTTTTTATTTAATGAGAAACCAGAATATGGATATCAAGTCCATCATTTGAACACTGAATAGTCATTGGTCCAGAATCTCATGCCAAACCATACGAAAAATGGAGAGAGAGAGAGAGAGATGGATGTAAAGGAAGTGTTTGGCGATGCTAAGAGGAGTTACTAGTCTCTAGCTGAATATAAGAATATTCAACTACTGCAGCAAGCAATATATGGTCTAGCTGACTATAAAAATGTTCAACTGCTGCAACGACAATATATGTACTGATAGAATAAACTGTAACAGGAAAACATTGGATTCTCTTACCTCAGCAGCTGCAATATCTTCTTCTGCTTCTTTAAGCCGTGCAAGCAATTCCCCAGCTGCTTGTACCGCTTCAGCAGTATCCCTAAGTTGGTTCTGAAGTTCTGTATTTTCATCCCTATAATAGTGTCTTTCCTTTTCCCTCTCCACTCTCAGAGTTGAAATTTCTGCAGCAAGAGCATTTATGAATTTAGATTCAGCACCTCTAACTCCTGCTTTTGTGGCTGCTTTTTTAACATCCTCTATACCAACTTGGACCTTCCTATGCCTTGCAAGCAGTTGAATATGTCTCTCTTCAAGTTCAGCATACTGTTCAATCATTCGTGCATGGCCCTGCATTGCCCTCTGCATTGCTTCTTTCAGCTCTTCTGAGCATTTCTTTTCCAAATCTAGTTCTTGTTTTCGTTTTTTCAGACAAGGTGCGGCTAGTTTGTAGGTCTAACCTCAACTCTTCTACCAGAGAAATCCACTTACTCTCTGTTTCAGTCCATTGAATTCTCTCCCTTTCAAAACTCTGTTCAGAACTCTCCTCATTCTCATTGGACTCTGGAATTGTGGATAAAGTTGGAGGCACACTGGGCTCACATGGATATGTTAATTGTAGAAGAGAATTTTCTTTCCTGGATGACTTTGGTGAAAAGTCCACATAAAACTGTAACTGGCTCCTCAAATCCTGAATCTCCTCCAGCAAAACATCCCTCTCACCTAAGTCAAAGAAGTTATGATACCGCTCCAGCTCCTCTTGAACTCTTCTTAGTGCAAGTCTGTCACTTAAAACTTCAGGATGATTCTCATACTTTGCCTTCAGAAGCTGCAGTAAATGACAATGGAAACGTGTTAAGGGAAAACAGAAACAATTCAAAAGACAATTTTAAGGTCAGATGCATACCTTATGCTCATGAATCAGTGCCAACAACTCATCCTCCATGAACTCTTCCTTTGGTAAAATACCATCCATATAACTTTCAAGGCGAATGATCTTATCTTCACGTGTTTGGCTAATTATAGCATTGCATTCTCGTTCATGTTTGTATTGCTGGATCTGCCATTGGTTGCAAAGCATGTCAAGGAGATGACTAAATAATGAAAATTGGCAGGTTTTAAACAAATGATACATACCAAACGGTTGAGTTGCGTGATTTCAAAAGTTTGCTTGGAGCATATATCTTCAAGTGCCATCTCTCTCCGTATAGCTCCAGCCAAGACCTTTTCTACTGCCTGTAAAAAGTTAGGATTATTGCACAGTCATAAGAATCATGCAAGACTAAAAGAACCAAAATCTTTGTTTTAACAAAGTTTCAACGTACTTTTGGTACTTGAATCTGGAAGTTTTCACAGGACTGTGATCCAGTTGCAGATACCAACTGTAATCCATTAACAGGTACCAGCTGCAAATTTGAGCCATCATCATCTGCATCTTTAAGCTCTTGCAGTGAATTTCTTGCCTTACATTTACTACACAAAAACATTGAACCACCTTCAAATGACTCATAATCTTTTGTAACAGTTTGAACTCCAACATCAACTTTAGCAACTGGTATGATTGCACTAATATCAGCAGCTTTGCAAGAAAATCTGACTGAGGAGCGCCTCAAAGATGTACTTTGTCGATGAGTACTAATAATTTCAAGTCCCCGCTGAAGACTAGCCGCCAAATGTTCAGTTGAAGTGAAACAACTTTTGTTTCTTTGATTTGATAGAGAATTCAAACAAATACTGTTTGAAGGCTTTGTGAAGGACAAGTCTGGGGTATCCAATTTATCTCCAAGATCCTTCTTTGAATCACTGAGCATTGAAGTCCCAACACTTCTCCTACTGCTATTAGCTCTTGGTGAAACGCTTGGCTCCAAAATAGGCGACACATCACATTGAACTATACTGAGATTAGTGCAGGCTGTATTTCCCTCCAAGCTTTTAGAAGAGTTCTCAGGATATTTTTCTGAAGGTGAGTCTTCTACCACTTCCCGTTGTCCTTGATTCAGCATTTCGCTGGCAGAAGACAGGGCATACTCATCTTCAGTTGGCTCCATAGAAAAATCATTACCTAGCCTTTTGAAGTTCTGCAGTCCAGCACCATCAACAGTACTGCTTTCATGCTCGATAACTGATTCAGATACCTCTTCCTCCATGGTAACATCTGTATCCTCGAAGGCTTGCTCCCTGTTGCAGCCATACTTCTTTCCCCCATGCTGTACTGCAGAATCAAGTAACAAAGAGCCTTTTGAAAACGTCCTCCGCAGGATCCCAAGCATACTATTCTCTTTACTGCCTTCTGATAAGAGACCTAATAGTTCAGCTTCCTCAACGACTTCCATTTCTGTATCACCGTCATCGTCAACAGGTAGATTCATTGGATGGTTAAGGCTGAACTTTAACAGATTTAAGCTTCTACGAACGCTCCACCCTGCCTGATCTGCTTGATAACCATTTGCCTTCATTCTTAGCAATTCCTCCTGTTCAGAGTAAAGGCAGAAGGCATTAAAGCAATTGACATAATTGAGAAATGCACCTTAAGTTAAGGTGCATCAATCACAGGTAAAAACAACAGAGTTTACCCTTAGCTGACGTATAACTTCTCTCAAAACATTGACATCATCTTGCATTTCTTCATTGATTACCGCCTTGTTCTTGATTGCCTTTGCACGTTGGGCAAATCTCAGGGTACTCAAAGTCTCACTCTTACAACTGCATTATCAAAAAGAACTGAGAGCTCTAGATTTAATGAAGATAAACATGACCGTAGAACAAAAACTGTATAGGGTTGTGAATCTACCTTTGGGATGGAGAAACGGCACAGATCATTGCGAGTTTTGCATTCCCACCGAGAGATTCCTGTAACAAAAATGTCAACTTGGAATCTCTATAGGGGATGTGCCTATTCTTGCCCGTTTGAGAAACTTCTGCAAGAATGTTTATTAAGTTCCTGTAAATTTCAAATAATAGTGCGATCAGCAGCATATACAATAATTCTAAACGTATAGTCAAAAAGATGACCCAAGTCCCTGAAAGGTATGTAACCCCCTACAATAAAGGCAAGCACTATATTCTGAGAGACCTTTACTTTGACATGTTTTTTAACTCAATAACTCTGACATTTTAATACTCACATAGCATTCTATCACTTCACTGTTTATTCTATAAAAGTAGAAAGTCCATAGTCACTAAAATTTAACCAGAAAAGTTTTTATGCAGAAAATGACCAGAATAACCATTAACAATGAGTTGTAACCTCCTTGACAGCTAAACCAAGAATAATTCTTTCTCCCAAAATGATAAAGAAACAAATGTACCCCAACTGTGAAAGTGATTTATTGATGTTCCCTGCTTCCTTCAAGCGTTCACCAGCTGCACCAGTTAGCTTTTGCCTTTCTGATCCAGCAAGATCAACAAGATTTATTCTACTCCTCTTTAGGTGGCTTATACCATCTGCCATGCTCTGAAATTAAAAGTTTAAAATAGACCAAAATCCAAATAACAGAATGTCAGATCTCCATAACAACCAAATAACTTATTATGCCAGAAAATTCTTGCTTGCACACTCAGGAGAATGCAAATAATAACGGATAACAAACAACGCATCACTTGCTATTTAAAAGAATTCAGGTTATTGTTAGAAAGGACATAAGATTGTATTACCTTGCATCGTGATTCAACAACACAGGTGAATACACTGTGAGAACGTGAACTCTCAGCATTTACACTTGTAGCACCAGTTCGCCTGTTTGACACTCCCTGTAATATTTTCATTGAACAAGTTCTATAAGCTTTTCTGAAACCAGTCCATATAATCATAGAAACTCCAGAAGTTCAAGTAAAAGTATTAGAAAACAACTACTAACAATAACTTTTGACGCAGATCTGAGATTGACTTGCTAAACAATAGACTCATTTGAGGAATGGATACAAGTTGACGCCAATGGATACAAGTTGACGCCTAAAGATTATGGGAAAAAAGTGAAGCAGAGACCCCAGATATAAAATTCTTTTGATAAGGACGCCTAAAGATTATGGGAAAAAAGTGAAGCAGAGACCCCAGTAATAAAATTCTTTTGATAAGTACCTCAGTGATAGGATTCAAGAAAAGACAAAATAAGCTGCAGCATGATATTGAAAGGTCTTTATCATTAGGACACTAAACCTTCTGTCCTTCCATCTTTCAGAAAATCAAAATAATGGGCAAACCCGGGGGGGTGGGGGGATAGAAGTTCCAACCCCTTACCAAAACTTGTTGAAAATTAAGATTAAGCTTCCTTGTCAAATGCGTTGCTATTGCAATAAAACGAGTTAATGATTTAGTTTAGTAGGAACAGCAGTAGAACTTTATCATTTATGTTACTGCACCTAAGCAAGTTTAATTGCCTAAGTGCTTACCTGATTCACATATTCACTTGGCTAACTGTTTTCCTATACTGGTCTATTCTATCTGGCAAACATAGTCATGCCTGCATTACAATATGTCAAACAGTTGAATAAAAATATGGAAGCAGTCTGAACCTTCATCAAAAGCTTTGTCACATCCTTCATGGAGGACACACATTCCTCAGTCAAATTTTCCACATAAACACCTGTTCTGACATCTTCCCTGATCTGAAAACAGAAGCCAAATTGAAAATCCTTATCAAATAAGTAGAACTAAGAATACAGATAATGCATACAACACACTTTATATTGTATTTCCTTTTATACCTGGAGATTTTTTTGACTAGGATCCAACAGATCAGTGATTTGTTCATTGTATATCTGTACATCATTAATGTAAAAGATTTAGACAACTGCAAATATTGACTTTGTTTCACGTTAAAACCGACTAGGTCCAGTCAAATTAACCTCAAGAAAAGAACATCGACACTGATACATGAGCTGTTTGTCAGCATGCTTGATTTGTTCCTGAAAAGAAAATGCATGTATTATGGAATCACATTTTATACAACATATCAAATCCAGGAAATATAGGATCACAGAGACAACATATCACCTCCTCAATACGTTCAAAAAGCCTCTGAAAAACACGTGGAGCTAAGCCCTGTTGATCAATGGTCAAGTTTTCATCCAACAAGGCGTTGGCTGGTCCCCAAATTGTATATGTCTTCCCACTACCAGTCTGAACAATTCAATTTCCAAGTCATATTCAATATTATTGGGACATGTGACATGTCAAGCACAAGAAAGAACATTTGAAGTTGTGCAGGCATATTTAACATATAGCAGGAGGTTTTGGGGATAACATTACCTGCCCATAAGCAAATACTGAGCTGTTAAACCCAGCAAGACAATTCTCAACAACAGGAGCTCCCACGTGCTGGAATATATCAACCTGAAAGAACAGTTAAGAAGAAGAGTCAAGTGCATGTCACTCGTTCATTATTCCTCTTTAAGGTATACTTGTTAAATCAAAGCAAAGTACAAAAAGGAAGGATGAGGCATACTTATCTGACTAAAATATAGTACTCAATAAAGCTATTTCCTCTTACAAGCATAGGTTAACAAGTTATTATTTTTTACCTGTGTTGATTGCGTATCTGCAATAGAATCAAATGTAAAAGTATGCCCAGCTATGGACAAAGAATCATTAGAGATCTTCTGGACAACAACTTCCCCCTCTTCCTCATCCTTGGTTGGCGGCCTCATCCTCACTATGACCTGATTTAGATGAGAAAAGTTGCAGGAATCAATACGTGATCTACAAGTACTAGGCACTTAGACAATACCTGTTTGGACCAATCAAACAGAGGGTAGAATGAGGCACAATGACAGACAAAACAGAGTGGATCAAATACTATTGGAATAAACAGCAAGCCGCTATTGGTAACGGCAAACCAAGCCACTCTCAGCGTTTTAAAATTTCAAATGAATGCATATAATTGTATGTTCCATAAATGATAACCATTGTCAAGATTGAAAAGAATAGAGAACGAATGTTTCTAGTTTACTTGTTCTTCTACAGGTTCACACAGCAATCAAGCTAAAGAAGACATAAATGATAGGTGATCTCTTCCTCCAAGTGTTAAGGTACAACCTCCAAAGCAATCGGTAACACCATTCCTAACAAATAGCAGAAATTTCACCAACAAAAGCCAACAGAGATCTATCTTAATCTCCAAGGGAAAAATCAAGTAGAAACAAAAAGATAAGTACCGTGCAGAAATAGTCATAAAATCCAGCATGGATATAGAGGATTCATATAATCGACCCTAGCTCATTCGAGATTGATGCTTACACTTGAGCCGGAGCTGTATCAGAAACAGCCTCTCTACCTCCTAAGGAAAGGGTAAAGTTTGCATACACTCTACCCTACCCAGACCCTGCTTGTGGGATTACAGTATGTTGTTACTGTGGTGGTTGCTCAATTGATTGATTGGTTGTGATAATCAATTTAGACGCTCTCAGAGAAACTAATAAATCAATCACTTTTAGGAGATCCTTAGATTACATTTCTCAGAAACAATTGACCACAAAAAACAGAAATTTCGTGGAATTAACCAACATAAAGCTAAACAACATCAACTATCACACTTCGATCCTAAAAAATTCGGATTTAGCAACACGAATCCTCCATATAACAATTCACCTCTACTTGAACCAGTTCCATTCGAATTCAAAAACAACAACAAGCAAAATGAACGTAATTTCCTCAAAATTTTACCTTTACTCCAGAATCAGAAGATCCAGCAGCAACATTCTCAGTACCAACAGACTCCAAATTAAGCTTCCGTTTCAAATTATTCGAGTTAGGCGGCGGTCGAGGAGGCAGAGGACTCTTACTCTTCAAACCAACTGCCGGCGATGAGCTCAGATCTAACGGATGATACGGCGGAGGAGCATTCTCTTTAGATGATTTATGCTTCCTTGTACTACTACTGCTAGGATTACTTGGCGAATTCGACGATTTCTGCTTCAAAAGGCTAGGGTTTGGAGATGACGACGGCGGCATTGTAGCTCCGGCAGCGTCGTGATTCTCCCTTAAGATCGTGTTTCGTTGTTGCATATAGTGCTTCATTTTGTATTTTCTCCACAGAAATGGTGAAGATGAAGAAGAAGAAAAGGGAGTGTTAGGGTTCTGAGGAAGATGAAGTAGCCGTTGATGAATTTGAATTGAAATAAGAGGGAAATGGAGGGGGTGGGGGTAAAGGTATAGTAGATGACTTTATTACCCGATCTACGTGACGTGTACATCAAAAAATAGTTCACGAGGAAAGGATTGTGTTTTCATTCCCGATTTGATGTGGGATTGAGTATCACACTCTCATCTACTCGTATCGATAGGGATAGGGCTCTATCTATTGTTGGATTATCTGATGTGGCTATGATACAAGTTCAAACGAGGCAAGGGTGACTTAAATGTTATTTAGTTATGAATTTGCCTAATTTAGATTTGAAATTTAACTTTTAAGGTTAGTTAAGTCCACCATTCATTTTTTTCTTATATTGAAATGGAATCATGATAATTTTTTTTATTTCTTTCGATATACTCATATTGGAGTTCGATTAATTTAGATCTGCACTACGTAGAGCCCATTAAAAAAAACGATTTCTACTAAAAAAAAAACAAAATTCAGATCTTTGATTAAGAGAGAAACAGTTGAATCTGATGCACCATATCAAGAATCCTGATAATAACTAGCAAATGAGAGACATTTAACTTGACAACTACGTAGATCTAGTTCATTTGCATCAATTTTTCATGAGACAATCTTTAAAATAATGTCATTTCAAGACTTTTTAATTTATATCAAATGAATGACCTCAACTTAACTAATAATTCTATTATCTATAGTGATTTTTTTTTACAACTTTATACCTAACTAGTTTAAACTAAAGTTACTGAATTTAATTGAATCCGTAAACTATACTCTAACTCCGTCTCTGCTTAGAGATTGTATCACGTTGTAGGATTCGAACCTGAAATGATTATTTAATTGTTATATGTAGTACCTTTTATAAATGAATTTGTTCTGGATCTGAAAATGGGAAATTAAAAAAAAAATTACAGACAGATCAGATTTTTAAAAATGCACAATGGGTCAACAACAGTCCTTTTTGACATTTTTTGTCTTTAATGGTGAAAAGCAAATTGCCAGAAAAGCATTTTATACCAAAAGCAAGAGCGTAGTCAAGATTTAAAATTTATAAGTGTTCAATCACTTAGATTTAAACTAAATTTATTAAATTCGATCAAATCCGTAAACCATACTCTAGCTACTAGAAGTCTTGGTATTAGTCAACCTCATGTTTATTTTTAGAATACAAAAAAAAGAAGTCTGTTATATTTGGTAATCAAGGTCATTTTTTTGTATAATTATTTTATTTTAATATTTTATTTTAGTATTACCTGATGTTTCATTTACTTGAGGTATCATATTTTTTAGTGTTGCTACTATTTTTCTTCTTCATTGTTTTTACCTGGTTTCATCACTATTGTATTTGCTTTGCATAGTATATGTTTTACTTGAGCTAAGAATCTATCGAAAACAACATCTGTAAGGTAGGAGTATGATTTGCATACAGTCCTACGCTCCCCAGACTCCACTCGTGGGATTACACTGGCTATGTTGTTGTTGTTGCTACAAAGAAATACACAGAGGCACCAGTTTCATAGAAGCTACTAATAAAACATAGTGTTCAGAAAGAGTACAAGTTAAACATCATTCTGAGAAATGTCTAAAAGTTGGTAAGAGTACAACAAGGGTTCAATCTGATCATAGTCAACACTGAACAACATTTCAAGAAAAGACTCTGAACATCTGTGATTTTACAGTAGGTGTTAACTTTTCTGAGTCTCGTGCTTCGGAGTCCTTCAAGATGTCATGGCAAACCATGGGAGTCCTGATTGAGGACATTGTTTGGTTTCTGGCACCGGAACAATGGAACCTAGACAAATGCGCCATAAGTCGAGTAAGATGGTGACTAGCATTGCAGCACCCAATGCATCAATGGACACTCTTGGCAAGTCCCATGAATCTCCAGGTTTCTCATCAACCCTGCACATTAAAGCAAGTACCAACAGAGAAAAATGATTTGTAAGAAGCGTGTTATGTTCTGGACCACAATGATTAACGACAATGGTGTAGACATGCAGTACGATGCACATTTAAGGTTAGATCACCTAATCTTGGTTAAACTCCACAAATGGTTACAAGGATGTTACGTAAAAGCAAGCACCCAAGGAGAAAACTGATCAGTAAAAGATCACAGAGTAAGAATGCATTAGGTTCTGGACCACAATGACTAACGACAAATCAACAATGGTGTGTAGGCGTGTAGTATGATACAGATTTAAGGTTAGATCACCTAATCTTGGTTAAAATCCACAAACGGTAACAAGGTGTTTGTGTTGCCTATGGTTTTAGAAAAGCACTTACAAAAGCAACAGTTAAGAACTTCGTAGATTTTTTTCTTTTAATAATAGTGAAGTATAGAAATTTACCAATCCTAAACAAGTCCAGTGTGAAATTTACCAATCCTAAACTTAGACCACTTTCACTTGTAGCACACCTTATATCTGGAAAACTAGAGTAGACCAAATCTCACTGTCAACCGTCAAATTGCGTTGAAATATTCATGAATAGCCCTCTAGAAAAGATTGAAGAGTAAAGCGAAGCCTGGTATTTAAGTGGAGAAGGGTAGAGGGGCGGGCCCATTATCCACCGAGTTTAGAAGGCTGTGATTAAAAAAAAAGAGATTGAAGAGAGCTACTAGCACTGCTAAGATAAAGATTAGATGACTTTTATAAAGCCCTTTAACTCTTTACAACAACGTCAATCAACTCAATAATGCACTCATCTGTTTCGGCCTCAATTTATTTGCAAGGTCAGTTGGCCAAGAAAATCTTTGAAGTATAATGAGCATCTCGCTGCTCAACAAAAACTGAGGCAAGCTTAACTTGAGAACAGATGTTCTTTCAGCAAATTACATTTCTACCTTTAAATCTGAAACCTTGTCAAAATACATCTCATAGAACTCGATCTCCCTCCAGCATTATCTACCCTGAGGCAATTCTATGGAATATTGTGAAGTATGTTTAACTCAGCTAGTCGGTGGACTGAACTCATCCACCTTGTGTAGTACTCATAATCTTTACATATCCTCATTTTCCACTCTAGTTCAGTACTGATTTGACTAATGCAATCAAATGATAAAAAATTGAAGAAGTTTGTTAAACGACATTGGAACGACACTGTAAATAAACCATATCTGCACTAGCAGAACTTCAGGAGCAGAAACTACAGGGAAAAAAGTTCTTACCTGAAAAACATTGGATAGCTTACAATGAAGTAGATCGCATAAAACAAGGAACCAACTTTATACATGACTGCTCGGTCCACGAAGTCATAGTACGGAAACTGCATAGGTCAGAAACAAACAAGTGATTCGTTTAGCTTTATTCATGCATCTCAAAGAAATCTAATAAAGCTATATACCCTTAAGTAAGATATTTCTGGACTCCTACAATTGACCACTTACATTGGAAATAGCTAATGTCTCCAGATAAGCTATAAAATAAGCATATGCCAGAATCCACCCAGCCCTGAAAGCCCATTGAATATTCTCGGGCAAATCAGCAATAGCATGCTGTAGTCTACGAAGGGTCATGTTTGCAGAGACATGGTAAAACAGGAAGCAAACATGTGCTAGAAGGAAAGTTGTGTGGGGTACCTGCAGAGAGTCGCATTATATAGCTTTTGCCAATACAACAACAACATGCCCAGTATAATCTCACAAGTGGGGTCTAGGGAGGGTGGGTATAGCAGACCTTACCCCTACCTTTGTGGTAAAATGAAAATTCCAAGTGAAGAACGGAGTCAAACAAAAAAAATTAACAGATGGCTTACATTATTCATCTTCCAAGATGGAAATGTATAAGAAGCCCCCAAAACTGTGAAGAAATAGTGGGTCCAAAAGTAATTCCCAACGTAAGTGAAAATTGCTATCCAGAGATTAGCCTGGAATAACAGCAAACCAATAGTCAGTCCAGAGAAGCACCAAAAAGAATTCTTAGAGAAAGAATCGTCAAATTAGCGACATGTGTAACAAGGAAATTTCTTGTCTGTGCCACCCTATTCAACTAAAGAATCCACAATAGGAGTTCCATTAAGAGGTCATTAGAAACTTCTAGCCAATTAATCTGTGCCAATTTTAGTAATTTTGTCTATTAGCACCAATGTAAGGGAGCTCAGATAGCATAAATCAAGAAAGACAACCCAATTTCACAAGCTATGGCAACAAAAACTGATTTTTCTTTTCTTCTTTATTTTTTGTCACTTATATTTATCTTTTCTCTCCAAGAGAATATTTTCCAAACTGAGTCTACTTTGGTCAATGTGTCATATGATAATTAAATCTAGAAACGAATCATAAGAGAGGCTTATCGATGGGTCCTTCAAATTGCAAACAAGTAATTGATAATTCTTCTTCAAGAATACTTGCCTTCACCCAATAACGATCCTTCCAAGCAAGGTTCCTGTCAGCCTGCAAAAGTTACATGTAATAATAAACCGTCATGTGACTAGTTTTGTGAGAAAATGCTATAGAGCTATTTTTTTTTAACTATATAGATCCCACTAGTTATATCATCAAGAATAGACATGACGAAGTTGCACTCATGAGCTTGGCTAGTTACAGGAAAAGGCTCATCACTCAAATGCAACAGTTTGCACATGAGAATTTAGACTCGTAAAAAATCATTTTATCTCCTACATTAAACATAAAAGTTATGAGTATTTTATCTCCTCCGCTAAGCACAAATCCATAATGACCGAATTGAGTAGTTTGATATGAGAAAAGGTGACAAAAAGATAACTGGTAGTAATTTATTTTTATTTTTAAAAAAGGGAAGCCCGGTGCACTAAGCTCCCTCTATGTGAGGGGTCTGGGGAAGGCCCCAGCACAAGGGTCTATTGTACGCAATTGTACCCTGCATTTCTGCAAGAAGCTGTTTCCACAGCTCGAACCCGTGACTTCATGTCACATGGCAGCAACTTTACCAGTTACTCCAAGACTCCCCTTCTTTGCAGCTCATTTGAATAAGCCACTGAAAAACTTTACAGGTCTGGTTATTAAATTGTTGATTCATCACCCGGGCTTCAGTAGTAGGAGACAGAACTCACCTTTCCGACAAATATCATGGGTACAATTAAAGCAGGAAGTGCAGAAATAAGCCCCACCAAGAGGTATTCCCATTCTGTGAAATCCTGTCATAATAAGTCACTCTGTTAGTTACAAATAAATCATACGGAATATCTTAACAAGAGACAACATAAAAATTCACTACATACAATCCTCTCTCACGCTTTCTAGTTTAATGTAACGGAAAATAAGGATGATCCATTGTTTCTTGCATCATTCCCCACAAGCAAAACTAGAATCAAAGTCTTCAAAAACATCTGAAGTTTCAGAATTTCAAGATGCCTCATAGAAAGCTACAAGGTTTCACTAATTTTCATCATAGATTGAAATATGCAAAATTAATGGCTTCTCATAAAATTTTGCATGTTGCTCCTTTATCTTCCTCTTTCTATAGGCAATATTACAAATAATCTATCAGTCAAGCCTCAATTGCAAACTAATCAAGTTTGGTGGTACACATCCCCGAAATACTCCAATCTATCCTGCCCCATTAGGCAATAGTAATAAGGAACATTCACTTCCCTTTACACGGTCCTCATCTCTGATTTCCCTAATTTCCTTTCCCCCTCATAGAAAAGACAACTTTTTTTAAAATCACCATAGAACTAAACAAGCACATCACAAGGCCATGGTTCAAACATACAAATACAATCTCCAACATTCATAAACTCACAAAATCTCTACTACATAAGTTAAGATGTAATTATATAAATAAAAAAGGTTTTGTTTTTAAAGATTAAGCTTTTAGATGAGATGTTCAATCAATTCAACGACATGTCACACACCTCATAGAGCTTGAATGGAACCACAACACCAAGGCACAAGGTGAGCCAAAAGGGAGTGTAAAGCAGAAAGAACACTTCACCCCATCTCTTGCTAGGGTTTTGAGCTAACCACAGACTAGGTGTTGCACTATTCATTTTTTTACCTGGAGAAATCACATTCCATTACATAAGAAACATTAACAAGAAAAAAACTTCCAAAACAAGATAAGTTGCGCGGACTCTTCAACTTTTGATTCGAATTCTCCAAAAATACATACTGTTGGAGAATCCAACACACAAACATTGACATTTTTGAAGAGTCCAAGCAACATAGATCCCAAGTAGGTAAATCCAAGAACTCACCTTTCATTTGTCTCCACACATCAATGAGTTTCCTCCTCACTCAAAAAATTGAACTTGGAGAAAACCCAAGATTATTTATAGCTCAGTCACAAACTAGAACTTGCCCTTAAACTCATAAGCAAATCCAAATATGAATAACCTGAAACCCCATTACAAAAAACATTCCAAGAATCAATCTTTAGTATAAAAACATCCAAGAAAGCTAAAACTAAAGTTGACCCACAAATTAAATATGCATATTACAAAAAAAAAAAAGGTAGGATTTTTATCTACTATAATTATAAATTAAACCCATTACAAGAAAAGAAAATCAATACCCTTTTCAAATTAAGCATCAAAATATAGAAAAAGTTGAAAAAATACCTAAAATGAGTCCACTTACCTGTGATGATTGATGAAGAAGAGCGTGAGAAGCAGTCAAGCAGAGTGAAGAGAATAATACAGCAGAAAAGAAAAGGACAATCTACTAGAGCTATTTAGTTTTTCTTATTTTATAATATAATCTATAGTATATTTTTGTATTTGCCTGATTAAAATCTGAAAAAAGACAGCTAAGTTTTTTAGATTAAATTACAAAAGAGAACTAGTGGATCTGCAGATTCTGGACAGCAAAAATAAGTGTTACTTTAGTTTATTTCACGTTCGTTGATATTTATGCCTTTTTGTCCTGAATATAATAAATAAATATATAAATTTATATAAAATTAAATTAATAGATATTTTATATAATATAATACACATAAAATATGAATTACCATATTCTATTAATAATTTTATATAAAGTTAAATATTTATTTATATATAAAAAATTAATCTATAAAGTCAAATTAAAAGATGCGTAGCAGGAGTAGGTGGAGAATCTGATTTAACGGATTGCTAGCTTTGGACCACAGTAAATTAGGACATACACGTGTTAAATATGGCACGCCAGCCACTTCTTCGTGATTTTATTCAAGTCGGGATTATTTTTAATCGGCCATTTTAACATATCAAGAAAATATAAATTGTCATTTAGAATGATTTAGTTGGCTTATATAGATAACTCATGATTGATTTTCCTCAATATTTTTTGAGTCGAGTTTATCGCATAGGATTTACTTAGTGTTGTTTATATTTTATGTGTGGTTTCCACCACAGCTATTACACCGTGGTAGTTTGCCTAGTGTACACAAAATACTCACTCTGAATGGAAAAAACAGTGGTAGAGATTGTAGCGGTTGCAGGTTAATCTGCGATTTCAAAAAAAAGTATTAATTATTTCTTAAAAAATATATTTTTTTAAGACGTAAGACTATACATCAATTAATACGAATATTATGATAAAATATTCATATTAATCGTTGTTTCTTGGAGGATGTGTATAGGCACACAATATGTAAGTTTGAATTAATTGGACTAGAATACAATAATTAAACACAAAATGAAAACCAAGAAAAAAATCTAGACGTAAGACACGAATTGAACACAAATTCTGGTAATTATGTTATTTATTTTTAATAATTATTAGTATTATTTTAGAAAATATTTTTCAAGACATAAGATTATACATTAATAAATATAAATATTACGATAAATACTAGTGTTAATCGTTGTTTTCTAAAGAGCATGTAAAGTTTAAATAGTCTTTATACTACGCAAATTTGAATTAATCGAGTTCTAATACATATATTGAAAATTGAATCGAAGAGAAAAATATTTTTCTAGAACATTGAAATCCATTGGCATGAAACAGAATTCTGTTATAACCTCATATTCACCTTTCAACATGAATGAACAAAATTAAGCTTCCCTTAATTCTTGTTTTCCCCCATAATTAACAAATTAAATAATTAATTAATACCATAAACATTAATCACTTTCTTGAAATTCTTCTAATTTCTCTTTATCTTAAGACTCTTCCACCTTTGCACTTCAATTTCACCACCATTACAACCCTTTCTTCTTCATTCATATTTTTCTTTAAATAATTTGGTGGTGATAATTTAAGTGAAGAAGGGTAGAGGGGCGAGTTCATTGTTATTCACTAAATTTTCGAATTGTGTGCAACTAACTTTTGAGGATTTCTCGATTATAAAAAAAATAAAATATATATATAGATATATCGTCCATCATTAACTCTCGTGAATTTCTCGATTGTAAAAAAAAGGCAAGTGAAAATGTCAGCTATTGTTGAACCAATCTCACCAAGCAAGGCCTTGATCATGGACACAATGATGGATGAAAATAATCAACAAGAGAATATGAAGATGCAGGTAATAATGGTGATGTTTGTGTCAGCTTATGTGCATCTAAATTAATGTTACGGAATATTTGCTATTATCCACCTGTACAAATATCAAATAACTCTGTCTATTAAAACTTGGTGTTGATATATCATAATGCCTTCTTTTTTTCTTTATTAAGAATATAATTGATAGATAATTATATGTGTGATTAATTATGTATTGTTTGTTTTTACTTGAAAGGATGATGAAAGTTTGAGGGAGGAGCAACTTCTTGAGAGTGATTATAGCACTTCAGATGAAGGTATATTCTTGGTGTCCAAATTTACAATTCATATAGTTCACTTTTAATTGTTATGTTTGTTATGTTACATTTTTCGAAAGTCAATTTAACTAATTTACAAAGTTAAATTAGATTACATTAATTCGATATTTTAAATAAAAAAAATTAGATATTCAAAAACTATACGAAAAGTATTATAAATTATAATTTTGTGTATATCAATATGATGAAAAAATACATCATAAAATGTTAATCGAAATCATTATCATTGACTCTAAAAAGAAACACTATGACAATTAAAAGTGGACGGGAGAGATTATATTCTAACCTAATATTATTTTATGTTAGAAATATTAAAAACTACAATAAACTAATTCTATTCATTCTTGCTAAAAAAAAAAAAGGGACCAATTTTCCAAGTAAAGCTATCACAATATACCTCTTTTTTTTTTAGTTTGCTCGCACTTTAATTATTTTATCACACGTATGCTATTCTGCTTGAATAAAATTATATTCAAGATATTTCAACCTTTATGCCGCCACAACTAAACGTATTACACTTTTATAATTACAGATTCAAAACTTAATATTTATTAAAAGTTTCACGATTCCCCACATATATATCTATATAAGTACTTCTATTCAAGAAATATTTAATTCAGATAAACTTTTTTTTAAAACTAAGTCCGTCGTGGTACAGGGGGGGTTGTATTACCCATTGAAAATTAGTTATATCGAGTTTTGCCTACAAGTTCATGAATCAAATACTTCTGTCCACCAAAAATTTGACAGATCGAAAATAAATCATCTAACAATTTTTATTTTCTTTGGTTTCTCTACACAAAATGTCATTTATTTTTAATCTTATGTTATTATTAACAAGAATTTTGTGTTTATAATCTTATATTATTATTTTTTATAGTTGAAGCAGAGAATGAATTAGAACCAGAAGTACAAGAACCAAAATTATACATAATTTGTCCTGAGAGACCAGAGTTAGTGTTATGTGAGCCATTCTTTTCCACACCTAAAGAATGTCTCTTCACTCTCAAGGAAGCAAGTAGATACAAACTCAAATTTTCATTTACTGTCTCCAACAATGTTGTTTGTGGTCTCAAATACATCAACACTACATGGAAAACTGGTGTAAGAGGTAAATACAAATTAAACATTCGAGTTAATGATAAAAAATACATCTAAAGTATATCAATTTTTTGAGTTTCATATCTGAACTATCATATATGCGAGTTTCATACGATATTGATTTCAAGTAGGAGAAGTGAACAATTGATAGTTGGTGATAGTTCAGATATGAAGCTCGAAAAAATGAACTACTTTAGATGTGTTTTTTACCCTTCACTTGTATTTTGTGTACTCTCTAATTCACATGTTTTTTTTTTCTTGTTGTTGTTGTGTTAAGTGTTCTATATTGAGTACATCATGAATATGAATATCATGATTAAAAGATTTTCGAGAGAGATATGTGTGAGTAGCAACATTATTGAGGGTGATGTATAATTGATTTGAGCTGAATTTAAACGTAGCTAGCTACAATTACTATCAACACATATTGTATTAGTTAAAACATGCAAAAGAGCTATATCAATGTATATGTGTATTGTGCATTTGCTACAAATCTTAAGATATAGCCCCCACTTTATAATTTTTTGAAACTATAGTTGTTTATATTATAAATACAGTCTACATATTTATGATATCGCGTAATTTTTCCTTTTATTTATTTAAAAACATTTCATTGTTATGGCAGTTGATAAGTCTCAAGTGATGTTGGGAACTTTTGAACCTAGAAAAGAGCCATATGTATATGAATTAGAAGAAGATGTCACACCTTCTGGTGTCTTTGCAAGGGGTTTATATACTACAAGAACACAGGTATATTTTTAGCAGCAATTAACATTTTTTTGTAAATGTCTTCAAAATTTATAGCGATATGAATTCAGTGACAATTAGCTAATATCAATAAATATTTTAACATTTTTTATTAATATATATATTTATTGCCGCTAACCATTTTTTATTTTTTTTTGGTGTTTCAGGTTATAGATGAAAAAGAAAGATGCTATGTGGATATCACATACTACTTTGACATTCAAAGGCAATGGCCTGAAAGCCCCTAAATTTGTAGTTTTCATATAATTTCATATTTTTTTTCCAAAGAGGCTAAGCATAATGTAGAGAGTTGAGGATTTTTTCTTGAAAGTCAAATAGAAAAATATTATTATTTAATTAGTAATATTGAATTCGAATCATGAAAATGAAAAACTTTTTACTTAATTTTTTTTGCAAATGTAACAATTATCACCACTTTATCTATTTGTCCGACACAATTACTTTTAACGTGCAATTATATTGCACATTGACATAATCATTATAAATCATTGATCATTGTCGATTATCACTACTCACACTTTTTAACAATTATTCGTACAATCTTGTACGATGTATAATATAATCTAATTTTTTTTAAAAAAATATAATGAATAAAATGTTTAACTATTTAGAGTATTTAAAAATTATATTTACTTACTAAATTAAAAATGAATTAGATACATATTCTAATATTGAAAAAATTATGAGTTTAATTATTTAACTAGTATATAGACTTTACATAAAAGTTTCTACTATAATAACTATGTATAAATCAAATGAGCTAAATCAAATAAAAAATTATTTAAATCATTATATTCGTTGTAATTTCACGAGTGAAATATAAAAATGTAACCTATACATAACTTTAATCATATCTTGGGAAGATAAAGATACTATTTTTCCAAAAAATAAAATGATGCTAAAATTGAAGAAATAAGATAATACGAGAATAACAACGACAATATTAAAAAGTGATATTGAATCAACACTCGACTATCTACTCACCTTCACTAAACACAATACTATTAATTTCAAGAAAATATAGGGACATGAGTGTATATATGTGGCTTGATGCTGTCCAAACAGTTTGGAAAAAAATTAGATTTTTCTTCGCTTTATTTGCAACTTAGCTTCAACACTCTCATTCTTTCTGTGTGTTTTGATTTCTATGATTATTATGGCAATTACAAGTTCTTCAACAATCACCATATCTAAATTAGATTTCCCTGTTTCATTTTCACAAAGCATAAACAAGAAAATCTCTATTAGTTCAATCCCTTTTTGTACCAAAAAATATGTTCCTAAAAAGTTGTTCTTTTCTATCAAGAATCCAAAATCTTGTGGATATATATCAAATTCACTTGTAAATGATTGTTCAATTGATGAAACCTCTAAAGATAACAAAACCCAAGTTTCCATTGATGTCAAAACCAGGTAAAAATCTAATCTTTTTGTATTCTTGCTCATACCCCCCCCCCCCCCCCAAACAATAGGTGAAAAAAGACTAGCTTTTGTTGCCCAATGGACTTGGAAGTAAGAAGAAAGATTGAGAGTTGTAATGTGGGGAGTTTTACAGTAGGTTACTTTATCTTTGATATGAAATGAGCCCCTAATGCGGAGCTGGGATTTTGAGTTTATGAGTTTTTGAATTCTAGAAAAGACAGCTTACTAGGTTGTTGATAGATTATTTATACATATTAAGTGGATGTTATCTACATAGGTTCTCTACGTGTTCCAAGGTAGGGGAAAGGTCTGCGTATACACTATTCTCCACAAACCCCACAATCTCACTTGCGGAGTTACACTGGGTATGTTGTTGTTGTTGGTGTATTAAGTGGATGTTTGAGTACAAATATAGGTTTTGAGCCAAACCCATAGACAAGCTTGTAGCTCCGCTCCTGTCCCTATAGAGGGGAATATATATAGGGGATTCTTGTAACCAAAGGCTAATCTAAGATTTAAGTTTGACGAGTTCAACCATTAGGCTCTTTCCACTGAATCCATTGTACGTATGAATTATGAAATATGGGTTCGGAATTTGATAATTGTTGATATTTTGGTTATTTTTACTCATAGAGGTTGGTTCCGTTTTGAAATGATGTGCTCGGTTGAATACTAGTATTTATATGCTCCATCAGTCTCTAAATATAGTGAACTCCAACTAGTTGGGATTTAAACTTAGTTGATTGATTGATCGATCGATGTACTTCTTCCTTACTAAAAGAGTGGAGTGGGACTAGTGACAGATTGAATATATAGTAATGCTAGTTGGTGTAGTAGATGAAAAAAACTTTATGATTAATCATAAAGCTATTACCTTTCTATAACTCGAGCACATACGTTTCTGTTAAGAAAATTACATTCCCACTATGCTTGGAAAGTACTTGCAGAACAAGCTGTGGCGAATCAATTGAATGTTTCGAAATAATCAATATTTGGGAAGATTGTGAATGTTATCAAGACTATGACTATTTTGTTAGTTAAGATTTCTTAATGATATCATTTGGTGTATTGCCTGATTTTGCACTTTCCATCTTCAACTGTTTATATTTTTGTTTTTGGTCCTGCAGTACGTGGAACTGGAAGGGCTATTCCATCCGATACCAGTTTTGTGGCAACAGTGGCCCTGCGCTCGTTTTAGTCCATGGTTTTGGAGCAAACAGGTCAACATCAATCACATTTTGCTTATAGGTATTAATTTGCAAAACTACACCACAAATAGAATGTCCCTTTCTCTTTTGGCTCTGAAGTTTTAATCACATAGTAGATTATAGAATTTGAATTTTAACATGTAGGTTATCTTTGATACGTTTTGTCCATCTGTATACCAAAACCAATAGTCTGTTATGCTAATTTTCTTCAAAGATACTTGAATGGAAACTATAGAATAATACTGAGAACTTCGCAATCAATCTTGTTTTCTTTACCAAGTATAGATGATCTTTCATCACTTGAGCCAATTTGTGCTTGTAAAACTTACATCTTGCTGCCATAGGCTAACAACGGAAATGGCATAAATGGTAATCCCTCCATTTCAATTTGTTTGTTTGGTTTTGACTTGACACGTAGTTTAAAAAAGTAAAGAAGAATTTTGAATTTTGTGGTCTTAAACATGCGGTGTGGAAAGTTAGAATTAAAGAGTTGTCAAAAAAGGAAAGAGGGCTTCTTGTTGAAACAGACAAAAAAGATAAGACGAACAAATTGAAACAGAGGGAGTAAGAATTTCTTTATAGTTGCAAACAAGAACACAACATTCACGTGTATCTTATTTTGCTGGCTGTTGATTGATTTGGTTACATTTGAATGCAAGTTTCAACTTATTGGTTCCGCGCACATAGATCGTCTTTGTCACTTTGTTACTTTTTGATTGTCTTTGAACCCGCATTCGGAATGATCCTTTTCCCACAGTGACCACTGGAGAAAAAATCTACCTGTTCTTGCACAGTCACATCGGGTGTTCTCTATCGACCTTATTGGTTATGGCTATTCAGACAAACCAAATCCTCGTGAGCTTGGTGTAGACAACTTTTATTCATTTGAAACGTGGGGCAGCCAACTAAACGATTTTTGTAAGGATGTCATTGGAGATAAAGCCTTCTTCATTTGCAATTCCATTGGAGGTGACCTCTTCTCCTTCTGTTTTGTATTATGAGCTTAAAGTTGATGTACTTATATCTTGGCAATAGATTCATTTCACATACTCATGAAATATTCCAATTGATGCTCAAAAACACAAAATCATACTTTCGGCACTCAAAGTGAAAACAAAAGTTTTTTTTTTTCTTTTTGACAAAAAGAGAATCGTTCTCAAAGGTTCGAGCCATGGAAAATGGAAACAACCTCTTGCAGAACAGCAGGGTAAGGCTGCATACAATAGACCCTTGTGGTACGGCCTTTCCCTGAACCCCACCTGCACCGGGCATCCCTTTTTCTTGCTTTGGTGCCTTCATCTCTTGGAGTTTTTTCTCTGGGTCACAGTGGCAAAGCGATTTCACGAGGGCATCATTTTCTCTAGTTTTTTGGGCTCATGTGCTTATTTCATGTTGTTGTTCTTTATGTTATGTGATGTTTATAACCCATAAAAGAACTTTCTGGCTTCCTCTGCAGGGCTTGTTGGTCTTCAGGCTGCCATTTTGGAACCACAACTCTGTAGAGGCATTCTTCTTTTAAATATCTCTCTCCGAATGCTGCATATAACGAAGCAGCCTTGGTTTGGTAGACCACTGATTAAAGCATTTCAGAATTTATTGAGGTGAACTTCCTTGTTCATTATATCTCGAAGACTCGAACCTTCTGCTATCTGCACTGGACTCATATTAGGTGTTTTTGCCTCAGAAATACGGAACTCGGGAAATTCTTTTTCAAAAGTGTTGCTACTCCTGAAGCAGTGAAAAACATTCTGTGTCAGGTATACAACATGTAGCACCCCGGTGTCTATAAACTTATTTTCGCTGAAGAATTTCAATGCTTGATTGTAAGAAATGTTGTGCCTCAATTGCTATTCTGGACAATATGATTTTGGATTGTACATGCATCATGCATAAGCTATTAAAAAGTACGCAGTGGTGGAGCAAGAATATTCAGTAAGGAGGTTCAAAACATGAAGAAGCCAATGAGGTTCAACATCTACTGTATGTACATAAAAAATATTTTTTAACCATGTATAAACAGTGTAATTTTTCGTTCAAGGGGTTTTGGATGAACCCCTTGGCTCTACCTAGCTCCGCCCCTGAATCTGACATCCAAAATAAAGTGACTTCCAGCTGCTTATAACTTTAGTTTCGGTGTGGAGACAATACCAGTATAAAGACAGTGATTGGTAGACATTTTGAGGGAAAAACATGTAGTAAATTGTAAGAATTTTTATAGGATTTTGACATTTTTAGATCAAATAATCTTGGCTTTCTCATATTTAGTTCATCTAGTATGCTGTATGACGATTGATGCCATGGCGACATCTGATAAATTGCTCTGCAGTGCTACTACGACACATCCCAGGTGACGGATGAGTTAGTACAGGCCATCCTTCTTCCAGGGCTTGAGCCTGGTGCTGTCGATGTGTTTCTCGAGTTCATTTGCTATTCAGCGGGGCCTCTACCTGAGGAACTACTACCTCAAGTGAAGGTGATTCTCGAATTATTGCTTTTACTTCCCATACAACATTGTCTTATATTTTCTTGTTTTTGAAACTAAATCTTTTTATTTGGAATTCCGCGGCCAAAATCAATGTTCTTCCACAAAATGTGCATTTTGCAGTGTCCTGTTCTGGTGGCATGGGGTGACAAGGATCCTTGGGAGCCAATAGAACTTGGTAGAGCCTATGGCAAATTTGATACAGTCGAAGATTTCGTCGTCCTCCCTAATGTTGGCCATTGTCCTCAGGTAGATTCAAGATTTAAATTTGATGAGTTTAACCAATAAGGTTTTTAGTACTATACATTGAAACATCAGTGGTTTGTTCCATATCTATCTATATACTCCGCATAGAAAATACTGAGTTCAGTTGAACCTATTAGCTAATGGCTCCATCGGCATCTGCATACTCAAAGTAGTTTACATACAAAGCAATAACGTCAAGAAAGGACGTTTCTTCAAAGTTTGCATTTCATCTTGGTGAGGTTGTTTGTCTCATCGTTGTGACATTTTGTAGGACGAGGCACCTCATCTTGTGAACCCCCTGGTGGAATCATTTGTTGCCCGGCATGCCAACGTATGAGAGCTGAGTCGCGCTGAGCGTGTAGTCTTGTTGCTTACATCAGAATACACGTATGGTTTCGCGTCCAACGAAGGTTGCTTGCTAGTCGAAAAAGACAGAAAAATGTACATGGGAGAACAAGAAAGAAAAAGAGTGAGAAACAGTTTACTCTAATTCATGTGAAGGGACAATTCTTTATACCACCTTTTCTTTGCAGTAGCGTAGCTACGTAGACAGAAGGTGGTCAGTTTGAACATGCTTAGTCGAAAATTATTATGTATGTATATAGAAAATAATATCATTTCGTACAAATACAAAAGTTACTCTTTGCAGATGTATGTTATATCTTGAATACCCTTAGCGAATATAATCTAGTGAAGTCGAAACAAACTTCTCTTTTTCTTTTCTGTTTATATATATTTAGCCGAAAAAATTGTATCAGAAAACATCTTTGTAAAGAGCTAAGCCCAAAATCTACATGTTTGATGTATTCATACAACACACGTCAATCTCAAATAAGTTAGGATCAGCTATATAAATTCTCGTTTCGTCATATATGCATGTAGTATTATTTTGTAGACACTTCTAAACGTATTCAAACGTGTCTGAAAATGCAATCAAAAATCAGAATCTTGGGTTTATGAATTCTAGTCACTAAAAAATACAATTCAATGAGTTCTCGATAATTTATTTATACGGGTTATTTACGATACAAAATATTTGAGCCAAACTATTTAATTAATGAAATTCCAATAATGACCTCATTACCTAACTTAACCCACATTTTCTTCCAATTCTACCCCTACCCCCCCCCCCCCCCCCCGCCCCCGGTTCCTTCAAAATTTCTCAGCAAAAACAGAAAGATTTACTTACTGAATCTCCAAAAACCCTATGCGGAGATAATCGGAGATCAGTAGATTAATTATGGCATTTTCACGTCGGTTAATCGGAGTAAGCATTCTCAGTTGTCTTCTTCTGTTATCATCAACCGCTACCGGCGATGATGATATCTCACGCGCCGCCCCTGCTAATGCATCGAGCTCCTGTAACAATCCTTATCGAATGGTAAGTTTGATTCAATTCATGTATTCAAAATCCTTCTGGTGTTAATTTTTAGCTAGTTACCGTATTTCTGTAATCTCTAGTTTGAAACGAAATTGTTGAATGTTGGAGTGAATTGGGTTGAAATAGAATTAATGGATGTAGAGTGTTCGTGTAGGTAACACTGACTAAGTGGGAAAAAAGATCAATAATTTGGGGAAAAGATCAGTAATGAGAAGTTCTTGTTGAAACTTGGAGATAGAGTTGATAGGTATGTGAAAGATTGGATCTTTTTTCTCTAGTCTAGTTTTAGAATGTTTAGTTTTGCTGAAACCAATTACTGTGTATTGGAGTGAAATATGTCCAAAATCCAAATAGAATGGAATGGATGTAGAGTATTCATGTAGCAATCACCGACTAGCTTGGGGAAAAGATCATTTATTTGAGAAGAAGACTACTTTCTTCCCTAGTGGAGTAGGACCTGGAAGTCGATTAGCAAAATTTGGGAAGAATTCAAGGAGCACATGATTTTGGTTAGACATGTGATATGGAAATGATACTCTAAAAGAGGAATGTCCTAGCATATTTCAAGTTTCTGTTAGTTCTGAGGCAACTATTCCTGATTGAAGAGATAAGACCGAGTGGAGTATATCGTCAAGAAGTAATTTTCAGGATTGAGAATTCAGCTGCTTGATGAGGATACTACACACCGGACCAGGCAACTTGCAGGGACATAATGGATACAATGAGATGGAATTAGAATAACAGAGGTATTTTTACAGTTCAAAAGTTGCTACCAGGTCTTGAGAAACTCATGAAGTACACTCCTGGCCATGGAAAGGGATGAAATAATTAAAGCTTTAACAAAAGTAATTTGTTTCAGCTGATAGTGATGTTTGAAGCTTGAGGATTTATCCTTTGCAATAAGTGCTTTTGATTATAATCTATTTTTATTATCGACTCGACCCAAATAAAAAGCCTTGATTTTTGACAAATCTAATCAGAGAAAAAGAACAAAATGGAACCACACTATCAGAACTTTCAAATGTTTAAACAAGATAGAAGAAAGTAGAATTAGGCTTGCCGTTGAAGTTAACAAAAGAAGATCTGTATATGCTAAGAGGCAAGACACATATAAACTGAATTAAGGAGTAAAAAGATGACCTGGCCATAGTAGAAAACGCACATATTATAACATTTTACAGCTCGTATGTGACATTACTAAAATGCCCTCAAATATAATTTAAATTGCCTTAAGTACACGTGATGAACACACAATTTATACTCACTCTTCTATAATAGTAAAAGTGCGCATCTACTGGATGCCAGTATTAACAAAACTATCTTTACTTCATAGTTCATCTAGTAAAAAAGTAGGAGGATCTTACTTAGTCCAAGAAAAAATAGAAGAGCAGTACATGGAAGTTCTAGTGTGCATTCAATGAGAAAAATAAAGATCTATGATAGGGAGATTCGTAACATGAGTTGTATGCATGTGAAAAAGGGAGTCAAACATTTGTGTTACATCCCCAAATTCGACATGATTAACTACTTTTGGATTGAGATGCAGTTGAACAGTTATTTGATTGTATTTCTGTAATTGCTTCTTGGTGATTTGGGAGTGTGAGGAAATTTGGATTCTAACCAGTTGATGTCATGTTATCTTTCACAAGTTATAAGTTAATGATCAGAGAAGATTGGGTCCTGTCTATTTTCTTGTTGGGACAAATTGTTCTTTGTTTTAACTCTGTTTTGCACCTGTGGAGACATACTGATTACTTGTTTCATACCAAGTTGCTTCTATCCTTTTGTACAGGTTCTGGTGAAGTTTGGATGATGGTGCTGAAGCATGAATCAATAGGTGGCTTAAGTGCGGCATTTGGATCTCTTTATCCACTGATACTAAAAATGCCCCTAGATTGCCTGCTACTTATACAAAACCCTTGAATGGCTGTTCCAGCTCTCTTTTAAGGTATTTATTCGAGATTGCTGACAATGCCTTTATTCTTAGGTAAATATCCCTCAATTAAGGGGATTTTCAATTCGTCTTTGTATTTTTGGTTGCAATTCTTACTTTGAACATATGCAGAAGGTTAACCTTTCTTTATTCTTTTGTTATACCTTGCTTAATGCACAGATCTTTGTTTTTCTTTGATCTAGTTATCAGGCTCCATTGCTCTAGCTTCGCGGTCAATGTGATTTTCTAACGAAGGCTATTGCACAAGCAGGAGGTGCTGCAGGGATTGTGCTCAAAATGATCAAGAAGGTTCATCCATGATTCATTGTCATATAGTTTTTATTTTCTCTTAGTTTTTTACTTTTTACTTTTTGGTGATTATGTCTCCCCCATCTCTTCCGAAATGACACTTTTTTTTTTCCTGCTATTCTTTAGATCTTGTGGAGATGGCTTGTCCTAACAATTCTACAGTATCAAACGTAACAATTCCTGTTGTAACCATTTCAAAAGCTGGAGAGATGTCATAGACAAGTATATCTCTGCTGGAAAGAAAGGTAAAGTCTTTGCCTCATGTATATTACCTCCAGTTTCTGTCAAGGTTAACTTTCTGTTGATTCTAGTTCTGGTTTCCAAGGTATCTGGTATCTTAGGATATCACTGATACTTTCTTATAGTACATGCATTGTTTCCATGCTCTCAATTGTCTATGTAATCTGCTGTGTGTTCTTGTGTTTCTGGATAATGTGTGTCTTTAAAAAAGGTGTTCAACTCATGTCCTTTCCTCAGGATTGATATGATTCATATTTTGTATGATACATGCATAGCTTTGCAGGGAAAGATATGATAAGGTCTTTTTTACTATTTACATGTGCGCCTTCGACACTGATGAAGTGCAAAATAAGTATGGTGCACTTCATCAGAGCTCCATAGCTCAAATCTAAGGCATGTTAAACTCCCGTTAAATTTGAGCTATGAAGCTCTTGTAAGTTGTGAGATGTAATTCCACGGCATGGTATATAATTTAATCTTCAAATATCATTGCTCACTGATGACAATGCCCATTAAAAACATTGCAGTGGGTTCTCTAGATACTCTGTCCATTGTGCATTTCCTGTCATCCTTGTTTGATATTCTTATCTCTTGCTGTTCCTGTTTTCTTGTATCGTTGAAGAATTAACATGATGAGCATATTTACTCTTAATGCAGTGGAGATTATGCTTTATTCGCCAGATCGCCCCATTGTGGACTACTCAGCAATGTTCATATGGATGATGGCTGTTGGCACAATATTTTGTGCATCTTTTTGGTCGGAGTTTACTACATCTAAGGAAAACGATTTCAATGAACAGTCACCAGAGGTTCCAAAAATAGCATCCTGATATATCTTGCGTTTAATATATATATAGCCTCTTATGTTCTTATAGAATTAATTAGCGATGCTCTGCTTGTTTTTAATCAACTTTCGTACTGTATCCTGAAGTTGATAGCTTAGTTTTATGTTGCTGCACCATGTTAGATTTTGGAGTAGTACACTTGAGAATAGATGCAGTCCTTCAAAAGTTCATCTTATCTGGTTCTGTAACATGTAGATTTGGATATGGATTCTACTGGTAGGGAATTTAGGTTGCAACTTAGCAGAACCATAGAGAATTGTTAGGGCATGAATAGATGCGGAGGAAAAGATATTAAACAATCCTTTTTGGAAGAGAAAGTTCTAGGATTTTATATGTCATCTAAGCTAGAGGATGAATGAATATTTTGCATTATGGGTATGGTCCATTAAGTGGAGAGGTATCAGGAGCAGAGTGGTGCTTAAGGCAGATTAGCTATGCTTCTTTGACATGATTTTGAAAGCTAAAAGTTCTTCTCTGTTGAAGGAAAAGGAAATAATGTAGATGATAACTTCACAGCAGTAGGATAAAATCATCGCTGGCTTAACATGCATTAGATATTGATTTATTTAAAGAGGAAATTTTGAACAAAGAACTGATGGCAATGATACAGACTTCTTGGTTACTTGTCTTAATTTAGTGTATCTAGCTTGTAACATAGCTGTGGAGCAGGTGCTTCATTTTTTATTTTGAGTTTAGAGTTGATTTTTATCATAGAATGTCAATGCCAACTCATCCTGATTTATATTTCTTATTTTGTTCCTCTTTTTGTTTCCCTTATTCTTTTTGCTTGGAGTCAAAAGATTCGGATAAATCACATTTAGTTTTAATGATTAATGGCTTTCATATCGAGTTTATGTGTTCTTCCTTTCTCATTTTTAGGTGATTGCTGGAGGTTCCAGGGAAGAAGATGACAAGGAAATTCTAAATATCACTACAAAGAGTGCTTTTGTATTTGTCATCACAGCGTCTACGTTTCTGTTGCTACTTTACTTTTTCATGTCTTCTTGGTTTGTCTGGCTGCTGATAATACTTTTCGCTATTGGTGGAGTTGAGGTACTCAAATAATTCTCTACTTTTGACTTAATCACTAAGCCAAGATAACTTGTTTCGAACTTGTTAGACAAAACCTTCTCATTTCATACACTGCATTTCTCTGTTCACAGTGCTACTCGTTGACAGATTATAAGCCACCTATTTGGTACAAAATGGAAGCATGATGATACGCAAAGATGATCCATCCACGAATTAATCACAACCAAACAAGCCTTTCAAAACAACTTGAAACCAAAAATTGTTCACAAATTGTCCCAAACAGTCAAATCAAACAGAAACTGAGTAATAACCCACAAATGGGACCCATCCCTATGACCCATACTAAACCTTCAATCTCAACCTGTGTTCCCCAAATGACCCACTAATTATACCTTTCAGCTCATTGACTTATTAGTAGGCTGTGCCATTTCCAGTTATATTGTAATCAAGGGAACGTATCAACTGTTAAAAATTCATTTTGCTTGGTTGAATCAAATATAAAATGATCTATTTTCCACATGAGCTCATAAAATGAAATTTTGTGCTTAATGCATTTTCTTGGTGGTTCTGCCTTCTTTGTTCTTTAGAAGTGTTACCCTTCCCAGTTCTAGAAAGAGTGAAGTTTATGGGCACGTATTGAGCATTTATGCATCTTGTTTGAGCTGGACTTAGGTTTCTTTTTCTGTTTAATTGACATTGTCTCTGCTTATTGACTTTTGGTGTTTAATTGTTTCCTTCTCAGGGAATGCATAGCTGTATAATATCCCTGGTATCGAGGTATAATATTTCCAAGAGCAGTTGTCTACCTGTCAGATTAATGTGGTTTAGATTTCTAATTAGCTTTCTACTTTGTTTCAAACAAAACTGCGAGTAGCAAATGTAAAGATTGTGGAAGGAAGAAGTTGAATTTGCCGCTTCTTGGGGAGATTTCTGTTCTTTCTCTTGTGGTCTTGATATTATGTGTGGCATTTGCAATATCCTGGGCAGCAACTAGGAAAGCATCATACTCTTGGATCGGTCAAGATATTCTGGTAAGCTTATTAGCAATATTCGTCCTCAAAAATTTCATGCACTTGTTTGCATAATGGAATTGAAAAACTTTTTTGCACTTTGACATGTATGTTCTAAAATGAACTGGGTAATAATCTCCTCGAGCCAGTATGTTATTCTCTGATGAATATGCATCATATTCGCTCGGACTTTTTTTTCTTCAATGTTTTCACTTTCAACATGGTTAGAATTAAAGAACTTTCTTGTTTCAGGGAATTTGTTTGATGATAACTGTTCTGCAGTTGGCTCAGTTGCCTAATATAAAGGTCTGTAGATACTTCTGTGGATTCTCCCATGAGAGGAGTTGATAGCTTTATTTGCTTCGTCATGGTTACCGAAATTTCATTTGATGATTACTATTTTGCTTTAGGTTGCTACGGTGCTTCTGTGTTGTGCATTTCTATACGACATCTTTTGGGTTTTCCTTTCGCCTGCTATATTCCATGACAGTGTAATGATTGCAGTAAGTTCTCTCTTTAGCTACATCTATCTCTCTGTACTGTTCATGCAGACTTCCTGTAGTATTGTATGAGCTGCCAATATTAACCTTTCAGTGCCTATTTAGTAAAAAATTCCCCTTTATGTTGAAATGTTCAATTGTGTAGTAACTATTAAATTGTTTTAGCATTTATAAAGGGTATAACCGTTCTATCTCTTAGGCTATATAAGGATTTTCTAATATGATAACATAAGCTTCACCTTTAGAATGTAGAACATGAGCATGCTCATATGTAACAATGATTTTTTTTTTATAAGGTATTTTACTCTAAAGAACAACGAACTTGCTAGGGCTGGCGAGAAGCAAAAAATCTACTATAGTTCTGTTGAAATGAACTTAATTGAATGAGGAAAATAATATGACTCAAAAGATTTGAGGAGTACTGAGGATAGCACGAAACCTGCTAGGGATAAACTTGAATAGAAGATACATCAAAACTTCTTAATCTGACACCGAGGGTCTCAAGAACATAGTAATCAATAATTAAACTGAAGACTCATTGAAAATTCTCTTTAGTCGATGTGAACTGTAGACATTTCACTGAAATGAAACTAAAACATTTGATGGTTTTGCACATGGATGAACTCATGATATTTGTGAAGCTTCTGCAGAATAGTTTAGATCATATAGATGTATCTAGGGGAGCTTAAATGTGCGCCTATGATATTTACATCTGATGGTTCAAAAGTTGCTTTGCGTCTTTTGGCTGTATGGCAGTAGCAGTTTGGTTTAATTGGTTCAATAATCTGGAGTAATACATGATTCTTGTCCTTCATTATCACGATAAGTTGATTTAGCTCTTCAAACCAACATTGAAATATTTCACTGACATCTTCTTGAGTTCGTTCCTTTAATAGGTTGCCCGCGGTGACAAAGCTGGCGGAGAATCCATCCCAATGCTTCTGAGAATTCCTCGAGTATCAGATCCTTACGGTGGCTATGATATGATTGGTTTTGGGGATATTCTCTTTCCTGGTTTGTTGGTTTGTTTTGCTTTCAGGTATCCCTTCGTTCTTCAGCCATCTTGTGAGCAAAAATCGTTAGCCTTACCAAAAATAAAAAGAACTAAGCACATTGTCTAAGGTGAAACAAGAAGAATATTCCTCTTTGTGCAGTTGTTCTCAACCTTATCCCTTCGAGGGCATTCAGATGCTACATGTCTATAGATAGATAGAACAAAAATTGAATTGTAGTCAGAGAGTCTTTGTATATGCCCATCTATGTTCTCATACGGTTTCTTTTAGTTGCCAAATATCTACAAGTATCTTGGTTATTTTCAGCAGAAAATGGTTCCTATGACTGTGATAAAAATTCAGAAATCAATGTTGGGGAAATGTATTGGATATAGAGCGGAGGATGTTTTCAACTCTATGGTTGCTCTATTTATGAGTTGACTACCTTTTCCCTTCTTCTTTTTTTACGGAATGAAAATCATTTGAAGTTTCCTTTTCATCCATGTCTCATTTGATGGATTCACTTCCTTTCTAGAAAAGCAAGTGGAACGGGAGGCTCCTGTTGATCCTCTTTTCAATCTTTTTTTGCAGATTTGACAAAGCTAGAAAGAAGAATGTACTAAATGGATACTACATCTGGATGATAGTAGGTTATGGAATTGGTCAGTACTTTGCTAAATTATTAGTTATCTTCTTTTAGCTACTTCACTAGTTTTTTCCAGCAGCCCTTTGAGTAAATGATGTTAGTTGTTCGAAAACAATAACACTTGGTAAAGATACCCACAAATGCCTAAAAAGTGTCCACGAAGTATAAACTGCTGTCTTAAAGCACATTGTAAACAACAATAACAAAATCAAAATCGTTGTTGATGAGCAGAAATATTGAAATCTGTTGTTCTTTTCTTTTTTCCTGCTTACCGTTTCCTCCCCCAAGTTCTCAGTTCAATCTCCTCTTCCAAATCAACTTAAAATTTTGCAGGTCTTTTATTCACATTCTTGGGGATGTACCTAATGAACGGTCATGGTCAACCTGCTCTCCTATATCTTGTGCCCTGCACGCTAGGTATGTCAGTTTGACAACATCCTGAATCAAAATTTCTGATTGGTATTCATAAATCATTCATTGACGTTTTAATCTTTAGGAGTTTATGTGTTGCTTGGATTGCTGAGAGGCGAACTTAAAGACCTATGGAACTATGATAGCGAATCAACAAGAGTTGCAGACTCACTATTGGAAGACGCCTGATCGATGGAGAGATGGGAGAAATATTAAATCTACAAACACAAGCCATTGGTGTATAAACTGTTCATAGAATTTAAGTTCCAGGACGTTCATGGCTGTGTTACATATGTATATTTTCCGTTCGCGACAGATTTTTCTTTCACCTTCAATTTCCACTGCAGCTATTCTTGATCAATATGTAAACATTACAGTAATCATACAAAAAGGAGAAGTTCTAATGAATCAGTTTTAGTAGTCACTTTCCCCCTATTGTTCTGCATATCATTTGTTGTACCTTTTGAGTCTTGAAGGCATTTGGCTTAAGATGGTGATATCTGTTTCTAATTTTTTTTTGTTGTTTGCAAGTTTAGCCCTTTTTTTTTTTTTGGTTTCCCATTGGTCTTCGGCACCCACATTGGAGCCCGACTAAATCAGGATTCGCGCAGGGAAGTCCCACATTGGGGGTAAAGCGCTCCCTAACAAAGGCGACCCAATACCAAAGGGGTTCGAACTCGAGACCTCTTGGTTAAGGATGAAGGAGTTCTTACCATACGCTAGTCTGAAGTTCAGACAAACGGGTCTAAAGTTTGACTTCTTAGAACATAACTTCAAAACAATTCGACGGCAAGCAAAGTTATTAATTATCGGTTTGAAGACATGTTAAACCATTAGAACCATTATTTATTAGTTATTGATATTGATTTTTTATCGATTTGGTTATCGATTTAATCGTTAAGATTTCACATGAAATTTTTTCTTTAATGAAAACTTAAAAATAATGTGAAATATCAAATGAACTGCACTCATGAGTTAGTAGATTGTATTTTTTCTTAATAGCAAACACCGACACCGTGAAAAACTTCATAGCGAAGGGTCTAATTGTAATTTATTATGGAATTATCGTTTAAGTTATTGATTTCGGTTCGATTTTAAAAGCGGTAATTCCTACTATTAGGCCCAATATATGTGAGTGAGTGAGTCCCGATAGCTCGGCCCATATATAAAAATCCCTCTCTCCTCTCATCTTCACCCTCTTTAGCTGAAGCACAGTGATTTCTCTCCCTGCAGAGAGAACCTTCCGATTCAATCATGGCGAACGGTATGTAAATTCTCTTTACTTTGAGTATTTGTACAAAATCATTATTGGTAATTGATCTTCCATTGTTTGTTGCAGTAGTACCGAGATCATTTTTGCAAGTTGCAGCTAAAGAAGAAGAAGCTGCACCGCCGCTGCGAGTCGTTCAGATTGAAGGACTGGTACACTTTCTCTTTACAACTAAATCATTTAGTTTATAGTCGAATTACGATGACATAGTATATGCCCGTTCTCTCCCTGATTGCACTTGTTAGGAGGAGGACATTGTGCATGAGGAAAGCAATTATAAGTAAAATTTAGCTACATATAAAAAATATAGGCCTTTTTAATTGTTTGTCTAAGCTAAAAGTAGAATCTTTAATTGAGCTGAGTGAGTTGAGTTGGTATTGGATAAAGCCATGCATGTGTACAGTTATGTAATGATAGACTTGTGAGACTTGATGCTTGTAATTTGGTTTGTTCTTCACCTTCTCTGATTTGGCTGAGTAAACGAAGTATAGGAACTTATCTTACAAGTTACTATAAGCTATTTATTTAAGTTTCTTATTGCAAAAAACACTGAGTACTTGCGGATTTTGCGAAGAAGAAAATACATTGGAAGTGTATAATTCATATAGGCAATACCAACTAGTTGGGATAAGGGTTGGTTTTTGTTGTTAAGATTATATTACCTACTAGTGTTTGTTCACTTTTACACTAGTTGGGATTGATTCAGCTTAATAGTCAAATTGTCAAGTATTGGAATGAAACAAGTCCAAATGGAGCGGGTGGAGTTGGAGTATTCATCATATAGTGGACCTGAACTGGTTTCGGATTGAGGCACTCTTTTAATTGTTGTTGCTTATTTCACACAGCGATTGTTGTAACACTGAATAATTTTCTGATTTGGACCAACTTCCCATCTTCTCATTTTGGATGGGGGCATTGCCATCTTTCCCTTTGATCTAAATTTAATATTAATTAGTTCTTTCATAAACAAAAAGTTAATATTAATCAATCCCTTTAATCTAGGATTGCAATGTGGTTTTTGACTTAACTGAATTGAACTCAATTAATTTGTTCCATAACAAATTTCATTGACCGGCTTCTAGGAGGTAAAGAACTATAATATGTTGGTACAAAGTAATTAGGGGTAACCCATCGGTGGCCCCTTAAATTTGGCACGAAATTTCACTTAGACACCTTAAGTGGGCGATGTTCATTTTAGACACCTCATGTAGGGTCTCGCTGTGTCATTTTGACACTTTTTTGCCAATCAACAAAAATATATGAAGTGTGTGTATTACACTCGCGAATGACGTGTAAAGTGGCGAATTAAATGACGACATTTGTCAAAAACAATTTGTAGATAATGAATTTTGAGTAAAAATATAAAGTAACCAATGACTCAATGACACGTGGATTTTTGCCAAATAATTTTTTTAAAACAAATTAAATCAATAAAATCCCCACATGACCCCCCCCCCCCCCACCCCACCCCACCCCCAATTGTCTTCCCCAAAAACCCATACCCATTTGGAGAAACACCTGCCCCCTCCCCCCCCGCACCCCACCCCACCCCCAATTGTCTTCTCCAAAAACCCATACCCATTTGCAGAAACTCCTGCCCCCCTCCCCGCCCCCCCCCCCCCCCCCCCACCTCACTCCACCCCCAATTGTCTTCTCCAAAAACCCATACCCATTTTGGAGAAACACCTGCCCCCTCCCCGCCCCCCACCCCATCCCTAATTGTACATTTTTGTCTACAGCTGTTGCTGGCCCAAGTGCTTGAGCTGTTCCCTTTTCAAATTCAGCAATATAAGAATATTCATTTGCATTTTCAGCAGCCAAATCATCTGGAGCTTCACTCTCCTGCAGATCAAGGGAGACTTTGACTCTGTCTTTCCACCCCTCACGGGCATCACCCACACTACGACAAGGGTTAGGTTGAATCCTTTGATGTTGGATAGTTAAGTTTGCAAAAATGGTGACTGAAAATGGGAAAGAAGAAGAAAAAAATAATTAAAAAATCGATTAAATAGGTTTTTCACGCGCGCTCAACAAGTGTATTACACTCTCTAAGCCATGTAAGCAAAAAGTGTCAAAATGACACATCGAGACCCTGCATGAGGTGTCTAAAATGAACATCGCTCACTTAAGGTGCCTAAGTGAAACTTCGTGCCAAATTTAAGGGGCCACCGATGGGTTAGCCCAAGTAATTAATTGTGTGATTGAAGCAATTCAAAGAAGTAATGGGAGATGACCCTAGCCTATGATGGAGGAGAGGAAGGCCTTTCATTTTAGCTCTGTAGGGCTACCCTATGGTATGGGCTTGGGCCTGGTTAGGCTCTTCTTGTAGGAGACCCATCCTTTTAGTTAAGAAAACCCTGTAAGAAACATATTAGCTAATATATTCTATTAGGTCTCTTATATAGATGGCGACTTATATGAGTTTGAAGGAATGTATATTTAATCTTTAATATACTCCCTTATCCTAAATGATTGTCAGCTTTGAAGTAAATGATTTCCCACGATGTATTGGAATGTATCTTTTTTTTTCCGTTAATGTACACCGTCATCCTAAATGATTGCCTATGATGTGTTGTATCAACAATTTTAAAAGATAGCAGATGGTCCTAGAAAGATAGACTATTAATGGTATATAAGTATGTATATAGACGTACATGCATAATTTCTTGAGGTAAATTCTGTGCAACAGGTCATTCTGAAGATAATAAAGCATTGCAAGGAGTTTTCCCCAGCTTTGGTCACTGGGCAACTTCTTGGGTTGGATGTCGGAAGTGTTCTTGAAGTCACAAACTGTTTTCCATTTCCGGTATGTTGAATTCTAGCATTTCTTGCTTATTATTTATCCAAAAAATTGTTGTTTCAAGATTGCTGTTTCAGATTCATAAATGAGTAGACGTCTTCTTAAAATATATTTTTTTAAGGTTCGTGAAGAGGATGAGGAGATCGAGGCTGAGGGCGCTAATTATCAGCTTGAAATGATGAGATGCCTAAGGGAGGTTAATGTTGACAACAACACCGTTGGTTGGTACGCTTACTTTCCTGTTTGACTACATCAGAGACAATTATGTATTTGCTGTACATAAAAAGTGTTGAACCTGTGGTCCGTGTGGACTGGAACATTGGTTTTGTGATTTGTGTTTGGCATTTTGTTTGTGTTGATCAGTTTCTATGTGTTGGGGATTTGTGGTCTATCTGTACTGTGTTGATAAAAAAATGTTGCTGGATTGATTATTTTTTTGGACTGTTGTGATGACTGATTGCAGTTAGTTTTTGAGTTAAGTTGGCATTTGTTAAAGTGAGCAGTTCTTCCTTTTTTTTTCTGGATTATGATGACTGACTGATGACTGATTCGTGTTAGACATTTTGACATTTCTTTTTCTGGTTTTGTTAAACTCGGATCATATTGCCACATCTGTCCTTGGAAATTGTAATATGGGTATTGGTAATGTGCTGAACTATGAACTTTTTGTTGGTATTATATTACAGGTATCAATCAACTTTATTTGGTTCTTTTCAAACTGTTGAATTGATAGAGACCTTCATGAATTACCAGGTATATTCTTCATTTATGATTCTGTCCATCTCCATCTCTCATCTTTGGATTGTGAAATCGGTTGTATTGGTAATAGAGTTACACTTGTTTTGGTTCACGTGCTAATAACCTGCACCCAAGAAGTGCAACACAGATTATTTTATCTCTTTAGGAGCTTGAGCTAAATTATTTACTGTCAAAATCAACTCTTACCAGCAGCTTGACCGGAACATCCATGGAATGATTTCAAACTGAATGACATTGTGTTTTAATTTCTTCCGGCTTGTTTGTCTTGTATTTGCTCTGTCCAACAAGATAAATTTTATTATCATTGATGATTTCATGAACGGAACACTCAATTCTGTAAAAATTACTTCTCTTGAAGAATTTTCTTATGTTCTTGCTTGATCAGTTGCTATTTGATTGTCTCAGACTCAGTTGTTTATGTGAATAATCTCTTTTACTTGAACCCGATGGCTTCTTGTGACTGCAGGAGAATATTAAACGTTGTGTTTGCATTATTTATGATCCTTCAAGATCCAACCAAGGTGTCTTAGCATTGAAGGCCTTAAAGCTTTCTGATTCTTTCATGGAACTCTATAGGAGTAATAACTTTACTGGAGAGAAGTATGTGCATTCTCCTTTCCCCCAAGGATAATTCTTTTGGACATAACAAACTTATTCTATTGCTGATGTTGGTTTATTTCTAGGTTGAGAGAAAAGAACCTTTCATGGGTCGACATCTTCGAAGAGATACCAGTATGCTTTCTTATCCACATTACTTTTCTCTCACTTTGATTATCATGTGCAGCTGTTGTCTTTGTATGAGTAAATTTTTTCAGCAATGCAACTTATTGATTGCCATTCTGCGCTTGTATTAGTTCGAAAATCAGTTGCTTGAGATGTATTTCTTATTATTTCCCCCTTTTGCCCAGCGAAGGCATTCTTGACTTCTTTTGTTGGAGTACTGTTTTAATGTTAAACTCAATATCTGATGTGTATTTCTTCTTCACACTCTTTGATAAGATAAGTTTAAGATTCTTTGACTAATACCATTAAGGGGTATTACTATCTTGTTTTAGTCAGTCAACATGGTAACTTCAGATAAGTTATGTTCATAGTTTCTAGAGAGAGAAAAGTTGTACAAAGAAAGCTTGCTTCATTTTCTCTCACATTTTAATTTTGCCATTCTTTTATACAGATTAAGGTTTCAAACTCGGCTCTCATAAGTGCCTTTATGACTGAACTTGAACCTGATACACCTGTAACTCAGGTATCTTAGTATTTTTTTGGAGGGAGAATTCTCAAATGATCAGATATAGCCTGAAAAACTAACTGAATGATTTTCTTTTCCCCTGTGTATCAGTGTGACTATGAGCGCCTACAATTGTCAACCAATCCATATTTGGAAAGGAATGTTGAATTTTTGATTGAGTGTATGGATGACTTGTCAATGGAGCAGCAAAAGGTTAGTCCTTCTCTTCATGGGCCAATCTTTCCCTTTCTGGGGAGTGTGTCATATGCTTGGATGTTCAGTTGCTAACATTACCTCCTGTTTGCAGTTCCAATTTTACTATCGGAACCTTTCCCGTCAACAAGCTCAGCAGCAAGCTTGGCTTCAAAAGAGGAGGTATTCTTCTTCTTTTTCTTTTGGAGACATTTTCAAGTGCTTGATCACCTAGACATAATAGTCGATATGATAAGCTTACATGATTTATTTATTTATTTATTTGGTGGTGGGGAGGAGGAATCCATTACCAGTTGTGACAGCTTGATAGTTGAGTATGCTAATTAGAAGTTTCAGGGTTGGGATGTCTTGGCTATGGTGTGGATGATGTATACCTGGTGAAATCTGCATTTATTTGTTTATTTCAAGAGGTCCTTTCACATTGATATTTGTTCCGGATTTTTTTCTCTGCAGGTCTGACAACATGGCACGTAAAGCTGCTGGAGAAGAGCCACTGCCGGAGGAGGATCCTTCTAATCCTGCCTTTAAGCCAATCCCAGAACCCTCACGATTGGACAGCTTTCTCATAACTAATCAAATATCTAACTACTGCAACCAGATTAACGGGTGAGTTACAGTCTAAAGTGATGACCATTGTTCACATGCATGTTTGCAAACATTGCATATAGGAATTGTTCAACTGAGGAAACTCAGCCACTCCTGAACATAGTCAAAATTCAACCTGCCCAGTCTTTGGAAACTGTCTCTAACATTCTAATTACAAAAAGATTTGAAATGCTTCTACTACTCTTGACTAATATCTTAACTTTTTACCCTGAGCCCTTTTGCGTTTCTATTTGATTTCATTTGTTTTAGCTTTCCTTGAGACATACTTTTAACCTTAATTCTATACATGGTCTCGTAAGGAACTTGACTTGTTAGGTGGGGCAAGTATTTATTTGGAGTTTTGATAGTAGCTGAAAAAAAATCATGATGAATCAGTAATGCACACTCAAGGGTGTGATCAAGCAGTCAATGAAGTAGAGGAGATTTTTTTAGGTGATTAAGTTAGCCCATTGCTTGTGCTAGTGAGAGGTATCCGGATCCAGCATTCGTTGAGATAGTCGAGGTGCAAGCAAGTACTTTTCTTGTGTTGGTTTGTTCAGGTTTATGTCATCTTCCTCGTTCAACGTGTTTTGGCAAAATGCCACTTGGTTTTACCACTCTCCTCGTGTTTATTCCCGACTTCTGTTCTCTAGGAAAGAACCCCGCCTGCATGAGTAGTACATAATCTCTTCATTTTTCGAGCTAAACTCGTTTGTGTATTGCTTGCAGTGTTGCTGGACAGAGCTTCAGTAGACTATATCTGATGAAGGCTCTTCAAGAGAACTGAAGAAATCTATGGAGTAATAGACCAATTTTGTACTTTTCCATTTTGTGTCAGTTTTTTAAACGCTTTTTAAGTTGATATATGAAAAGAATGAATTCTTGTGTATGCAAGCGACGGGAGGCCTATGCTTCCTCGTTAACAATGACATATTCAGTGTAATTTTATGTTTGAAGAGGATGGTGTATACGCACCTTATCTTGTGAAGGTAGAGAGATGCTTCCTCGTTTGTCTAAAATATAAGGGGAAAATATATGATTAAAAAAGTGGCCAAAAATATATGATTAAAATATTTTTCAAATCCATTTTGTTGCTTCTTTCATGTCCAAGTGATTTAATATTTTATATATGCGTTTAAGTTATATGAAAGCAATAAATAAACCTTTATTTCAAACATAAATAGTATACGTGCAATTTTTTTATATTAACTATGTACTTAATAAATTGATTTAATTGTTCCACCAAAGTAGCTTTGCCCGTGTTCGTAGGACTCTTTACGTGTAGCTTTAAAAAATATTAAAGTGATTATCAAGATTTTTTTCCATATTTGTCAACCATTAGGAATCGTTTAGTAACGTGTATAAGAATGGTATCGAATATAATAGACTAGTAATAAATAGTAATTGAATAATAGTGTAATCCAATATTATTAACTTACTTTGTTTGGACGCCTATTACATATCCTTTCATAACGTATCGTATCGGTGTTCATTTATAATATACTAGGGAATGATAAACTAAGATTACTAATTAAAGAATAAACAAAGACAATGAGAAAAAAATACTATAAGATAAGACGTTATGTAATAATAGAAAATAAATCTAATATTATTAATGTTACTTTGTTTGGGTGATTATTACAGATTATTAATTAAAGAATAAACAAAAATAAAATGAGAAAAAAATACTACGTATAAGATAAGACTTTTCGTTATTACGTAACGACTTTTTAACTATTGAAAAATAGGAGGTGAGGGTCCCTTAATCTTGAAATTTGGGCGCGTGGGTCTGTCTGTACATCCTTACATACTTAACAATCTTTCACAATCATACCAAAGGGATGGCATAAAGCTTCTTTGGCCGACATAACATGATTTTATAGAGCATAGGTCGCTATCATACAAACTACATATAATACATTGGGAAACAAGAAAAAAAGATCTTTTTTTTTTCTTGATTTTTAACCATCTAGGAGACCTAACTGGTTCTTTTTCTGTGCCAGAGAAGGTGAATTCTGAGGTACTGTTCTTAGAACTCTCTTTTTTGCTGTTTTGTGGACTTTATATGGAACCCCAGATTGTGTTCTTGAGTTATTGAGGTGTGGGGTTGGGGGTTGGGGGTTGGAAGAGTCTAAATGGTGCCTGGTTTTGTGGGTTTATTTGGATTGTTGCTGAATTTGCACAAAAAATGTCATCTTTTTTCCCTTGATTTTATAGAGAGCATAGATCCTAACATACAAACTGCATGTAGTACATTGGAAATGAAGGAAAAAGATCAGTTTTTTCTTGTTTTTAAATCATCTGGGAGACCTAACTGGTTCTTTCTCTGAACCAGAGAAGGTAAATTCTCAGTAACTGTTCTTGGAACTCTCTTTTTTTGCTGTTTTTGTGTTTATGTAGTCTTTATATGGAACCCCAGATTCTATTCTTGGGATTTTGAGGTGTGTGGAGGGTGGGGTGGGGGGTTAGGGGGATTGGAAGAGTCTAAATGGTGCCTGGTTTTGTGGGTTTATTGGATTTTTGCTGAATTTGCAGAAAAATGTCATATTTTCCCTTGATTTTTTAGAGCTTATACAAACTGCATATAATACATTGGAAAAGAAGAAAAAAAGATCAGTTTTTTCTTGCTTTTTAATCATCTGGGAGACCTAAAGTGAATTCTCAGTTACTGTTCTTGGAACTCTCTATTTTTGCTGTTTTTGTGTTTTTGTAGTCTTTATATGAAACCCCAGATTCTTATTCTTGGGTTTTTTGGGGTGTGTGTTTGGGGGTGGGGGGATTGGAAGAATCTAAATGGTGTCTGGTTTTGTTAAGTTTATTGGATTTTTGCTGAATTTGCAGAAAAATGCCATCCTTTTTTGCTTGATTTTATCGAGCATAGATTGTTAGCTTACAAACTGTATATAATACATTGGAAAAGAAGAAATAATTTCAGTTTTCTTGCATTTTGATCATCTAGTAGACCTGACTGGTTCGTTCTTAACCCAGAGAAGGTAAATTCTCAGGTACTGTTCTTAGAACTCTCTTTTTTTGCTGTTTTTGTGTTTATGTTAAATGGAACCCCAGATTCACAGAATTGAATTTTTTTCTTGTTGGGTTTTTGTTATGTGTGTGGTTGGGGGTAATGGGAAGAGAAAAGATCATTCTTTCTTGCTTTTCAATTATGTTGGATTATTTTTAAGAGAGAGCTGCTGGTTCTTTCTCTGAACCAGAGAAAGTAAATTCTCAGGTACAGTTCTTAGAATTCTTTTCTTTTTGCTATTTCTTGTGTTTATGTAGTCTTTAAAGGCAACCCCAGATTCATTGAATTCACTTTCTTCTTGATGGGTTTTTGGTGTGTGTGTGGTGGTGGGGGGTGGGCAGGGTTGTTTGGAAGAGTCTACATGATGTCCTGGTTTTATGGGTTTATTGGATTTTTAGTTGAATTTGCATAAAAAATGTCATCTTTTTTAGTGTGTTTGGTTTGGGGGTTGGGGTGGGGGGTGGAAGAGTAACAGTTCCTGGTTTTGTGGGCTTATTGGATTTTAGCTGAATTTTCAGAAAAAAATCATCTTTTTTTCTTTGATTTGTTGCTTTTTATTTTAAGTAATTTCCAAGCTAGCCAACAGTTTTGGTTCTCCTATTTTCTTCCCCTAGAAATATGTGAATGTTAACATATTTGTGTTTGTTTTTCTGCTCCTTTTTTGCCTTGTTCTGATTTGGACCTTTCAGTTTTGTTTCTCTATATCTGGGAATACAATGTTTTTAGTTTTGTTGAACTTTTTCTTGAACTTAGGGTTGAAGGGTGTGGGAAAGCATGTCTTACCAAAGGGCTGAGAGATTGGGTTACATGAGTCTTGATGAAGAGATGGCAGATACGATGGATGAATTTGAAGAGGTATTCTACAATGAGGACACAAACCTTGATGACTTTGAGATGGTCAGTACATATACACTTTGACTTATTCTTATTCTCTGGTGGCTTATGTTGAGTTTTGCTTTGAGACTGTTGAATTTAGTGATCACCTCAACAAAAGTGTGAACTCGTGTATCTGTTTATATTAGGTTTGAATCTAAGTTGCTCGGACTCGGGTGCGGGTGTCTCGATACGGGTGCGTATCTAGAGGTCGGATCCTTCATGATCTAGTTTTTAAGATTCGGGGATATGGATCCATGTATGGATACGGGTGTGGGAATTCGCCTAAAAATAATTATTAAAATATCTAAAATAGAGCTATAAAACCTAAATTATGAGATATTATGTGGAGAACTTGAGGAGAATCATGGAAGGAAATTAAAGGAAAAGGAGTGACAGAGAAATTTCTATATAAAAGGTTTTCCATTTTCTTCAATTTCACCTTAGCTTTTGTATTGATTATAGGAATCATTAAAATTGTCCAGTCTTTCCCCATTGATTTTGGTCAAAGTACCCAAAATACGTTGACCAAATTGGACACGGATCCCACACCCACACCCATGTCGTGTTGACACGGGTGTGGCACCAAAAGTAAAGAGTCCGAGCAGCTTAGGTTTGAATCATGGCCCCTTAGAGCATGCCTGACCAGTTTTTCTTTGGTTCAAATGCGTGGAAATTCCTTTGATAATGCGTGTCAGTGAGAAATGAATCTAGGGCCTTTATCTGATTTGAATTTTGATGCCATGTTAAATAGTGACCACTTCATCTAAACTTTGTTCTGTTGCAGCAGCCAGTGAGAACATGCTTGTTTTGGTGCGAACATTATGTTGAAAAAATATAATTTTCCAGTTAGTTTAGCAATAACTATTTTGATGTATACCTGGATTTGCTTATTTGTGTTGTTACTTTTTGAAGCGAAACATGCATCTCTTAAAGATGTTCTTCATTTGAAAAATCTATTGGTAATACAGCCGTGCGGTGAATACTAATTGCTCTTATTGAATTCGATGATAGTCATGTTACTCTTTTTTTCTTTTAGGCTTCATTTCTCCTATTTGTTTGATGGAGTAATGACACGACCTGTTTTTCTCAATGTACTGGGATGAGTTTTTTGCATTTCATTCTGTATTTTGAGTTACCTTGAATTATTGAAACTACACATCAAGTGAATGCATGAATATGTGATTACTTTGGTCAGTTGGTGTCAGATATCAAAATGGTGTATTCACTTTTTTTTTTTTTTTTGGAATATTGGTTAGGTAACAGAAGGGACAGATACATCCGCTGCACAAGCAAGGAAAGGCAAAGATATACAAGGTATCCCATGGGAGAGATTGAATATAACGAGGCAAAGCTACAGATTGACAAGGCTCGAACAATACAGGAATTATGAGAACATACCTTTGTCAGGAGATGCTGTAGATAAGGTCTGTAGCTTCATTATTTTTTTCTTTAAGGATTTTAATTCAGTATTTCCAAAGTATAGTTATAAACTCTGCGGTTATTCTATGTTATGTTGCTTTGTCAGGAATGCAAACAGGTGAAGAAAGGTGGCAACTTCTATGACTTCTTTTACAATACAAGATTAGTGAAGCCTACCATACTTCATTTTCAGGTATGCATTTATTTTGTAGATTATACAAATAGTGTGAGTCCAGCTGTGATTTTCCACCTAATAATGAACCCTTTCGTATCACCTCTGGTTTCGGAGAAGGACTAAATGGATCATGAAGTTGTCAATCAATTAATTAGAGAGAAAGTTGGAGCTGCTATTTCTTGCAGCTGGGTTAACTTTTACCTGTGTTGGTCGGACTCTTTAAAAATGTTGTTGGGTGTGTGTTAGATCCTCCAAAAGTAGTGCATTTTTTTAGGATCAGACATGGGTGCAACAATATTCTTGTAGAGATAACGTTACATAGATTTCTACATATGCTTTCTTGAGCTTACCCCATGTTTCAGCCATTCTTGTTTACTTGCTTCTGCAATATGCAATTTCTCCGCTGTGGGACGTTGAATGATGCGAGGTTTACCCAAGAACTGCAAAATCCTCCCTGATGTATCTCTCCACCCTATGTTGTCCTCATCTTCTGGAATAAAGACCAAGGATTTCCTGTCTCCTAACCAATCCTCATTCCTCACGAAATGCCATAATTATTAAATTCTGCTCCTGAGAAAGCTAGCCCCTTTCTATTTATAAAAACCGGGTCTGTTAACATTTTCACTAATATCTAACAATTCGAAGGACTTCCCCATCAACAGTATAATGAATAACTTACTGTCTTTGTATTCTTCAAATTCCAGTAAGTATACTATCATCCTAAAAATAGGAGCATACTCTATTACTTTCATCAATTTTAGCATTACAAGCATTCAATATGACAAGAGAACTTGAGTAAGCATGCATAAAACCATGCCTAGGATATCAGGGAAGTCTCCTCAATTAGGGATTGGTCAAAGATAAAGGAAATGGAATGGGTTTCTGAATTCTGATCGTGCCAAGACAAGAAATTACTGCCAGAGGTTCTCCATCCTATGTGTGATGCTTTTGGGTTAACTTCTTAACTGCAGTTACTGTAAAAAAGGAATCTGTTAACTACTTATTTCTTTGGAAAATTTTGGATTATTCTATGGTGTTTGCCTAGTAAATAATGTTTTTTTTTTCATTTGCTGAAAGGATAATTTTAATGATCTCTTTATGCCATTTGTTTTGCAGCTAAGGAACTTGGTTTGGGCTACTTCAAAACATGATGTGTATCTTATATCGAACTACTCACTTATGCACTGGTCATCCATTTCCAACAACTTAACTGAAGTCCTTGATTTCTCTGGACATATAGCACCGTCAGAGGTAATCCAGAATGCACTTAGTGACCTTCCTTTTGTATTTTAGTTTCTAGGGTACCTGTAGTTCTTCTTCTTCTTCATGCTGGTGTCATGTTTCCATGAAGAGGACTCTTATGTGTATGTATCTTATGAATTCTTTCTTCTGTTAACATTGCGGTGGGATTTGAAAGAGTACCCATCTATCCCTCTTGAGTTTGGGTCTTCAAGATGTTTTGTTTTTGTCTTTTTACCCCTCCCTCAGGGTTGGAGGTGGAGGGGGCTTACCATCCGAGCACCCCTCTTGTCAAGATGTTTTCTTTGATTCCAATTAGAAGTCAATATTTTTTGTTGTTTCTTCCCTTATTGATTATGTCTAACCTGCTCTTTTTGTTACTTTGGCCTCTAGAAACATGCAGGAAGTTTGTTAGAAGGTCTAACACAAACACAGATCAGCACAATGGCAGTGAAGAATCGCTTTGTTGTCGCAGGGGGATTCCAAGGGGAACTCGTTTGTAAGGTTAGTAGGGTTTGTTTTGAGTTTCATCAAGAAGATATAATAAAATTAGTTTCCGGAGAAAATTCATGAAATCAAAGAGAGGAGGTGTAAGTCCCAGGTCTTTGGTCTGTTTCCACAATAATCAAAGTGTATGCATAGATGGAATATGTTAGAGATAGGTCATGTTAACTTATTGGCAAGCGTATTCAAGTTTTTCCTGCTGTTGTTCATGAGCATTTTATTTTTAATAATTTCATATCTATTGATAGCTCAAGACTAGCAAGACTTGGTTAATTAAATTTGAATGAAATTGAATCTTTATACCGCATGCGCCTTTTGTCATCCTTACTTAACTTAGCTTCATATAATGCAGTGTTTGGACAAGCCAGGTATAAGCTTCTGCGCAAGGACCACTTATGAGGATAATGCTATTACAAATGCTGTCGAGATATATGATAGCTTGAGGTAGTATGAATATAATATGAGTTGTTGGACTAATTCGAAATTCAACTGTATAAACGTCTCAATTGTTTTGCAGCGGTGGGCTTCATTTTATGGCTGCTAATAATGATTGTGGTGTGAGAGAGTATGACATGGAGAAATTTCAGCTTATGAACTACTTCCGGTTCCCTTGGCCAGTGAACGTTAGTTTCTTATCTATCTTTTACTGCTTTTTTTTTCTCATTTCCCATTTATTTCTTGTGGCCGGGAAGGCGGGGTGTTGTAATTGACATCCCATCATAGGCCTAGTGAACACACATTTTTCTTAGTAGTAAATAATTCAGATTGTTTGTGAATTAGAAGATGTTTGAGATGCATCTGTCTTTAAGTACTATTCGAAGATGGAACCTCTTATGCATTCATAATTTCATTGGTTATTTATGCAGCATACTTCAATGAGCCCAGATAGCAAGATTCTTACTGTTGTTGGAGATGATCTCACTGGCTTACTTGTCGATTCTCAAAATGGAAAGGTATTCAATCGTTACCTTTAAAATCAGATGTAATGAAAAGTTTTTCATCGTGTGGTTGCCTCGTATATGTTGGTCATTTCTTTACTGCATTTTTGGTGAGGTTATTATTGGCAAGAATCTATGAATCAATTGCAATGAATTTCACTTCTATTTGTTTCTTACATTTTTCATGTGAGTCCTCCATTTTCTGATCCGATAAATCTGTTCTAATCGAGGGTCTTTACTGTATCAGACGGTTGGCTCGATTGTTGGTCATCTAGACTACTCTTTCGCGTCTGCCTGGCACCCTGATTGCCGTACCTTTGCAACTGGGAATCAAGACAAAACCTGCCGAATTTGGGACATGAGAAACCTGTCATCACCTACAGCAGTGCTGAAAGGAAACATGGGTGCTGTCCGATCTATTCGTTACTCATCAGATGGGCGATTCTTGGTAGTAGCTGAACCTGCAGATTTTGTCCACATTTACAATGCTGAAGGAGAGTACAAGAAACGTCAAGAAATTGACATGTTTGGCGAGATATCTGGTGTATCTCTGAGTCCAGATGATGAATCTCTTTATATCGGAATCTGGGATCGAACATATGCAAGCTTGCTCCAATACAACCGAAGGCGTTCTTCCGTATATGTTGATTTGTTCACATAAACCTACTGATGGTCTGTTTCTTCACCGCGGGCCGGTGTACCGGAGAAAATAGGTTTCCTCATAGGTGATGAGATGAAATCATGTTGAACTTAGAAACTTGGCTCAGTTTTTGGTCCTTAGTATACCATGTACAGTGTCCTTAAGAAAAAAGCCTTATATACAGAGCCTTATTTCTAGTATAGTCAGACTTCTCCTACAACATTTCGCTTTTGGTACCGACTTTTCATGTTACATGTTATATTGTATGTTTTCTATAACAACATTTCGCTATAGCAACAAAAAAAGATCTTGATAAGCGATTGTGTTATAGAGAGATTTGAATATACAACATTTATGCTTGATTTGTGCTTCTACATTTTGGTAAAAAAAAAAAAGAAATTACAAGAGTAATACTACAAGTACTTGCATGGATAAATGAGATAACGCCAAACAACCTATTAGCCTTCTACCTGTTCTCTATAGCCTTGGTAAGCTGAAGTTATGGCATGTCTTGTTTAATTACATCTCTCCAATATTTCTCAGATCTACCTCTATCCCCTCCTCGAATTATCCTTACTCAACATCTCACACATTCGCACTAGGATATTCGTACATTTCCTCTTCACATTCTCGAATCATCTCAATCTCACATTCCGCATCTTATCCTCCACTAATGCCACTCTTAGCTTGTCTCAGATATCTTCACTTGTGATCTATTTCGTCTAGTAAAGTCCATACGTCCATCTCAAACCTTACCCCTATTGTGATGGAGATTTATTTTCGAAAAAAATATATTATAAAAAATAAATTAAATCGATTAAGTTGGTTTTTCATCTATACGATTACTATCAATTTTATCATTAGTTTAATAAAAAATTAATTATTTTTTTCTTATAACTAAATTTAAATTTTTATCATTAATAAAAATCAAATTAAAATCGAAAAAGAAATTTTGGATTTGGTTTGGTTTTTATATTTTTGCACTCCATATCAAACTCCACTCAACTTATAAAGTAGTCGGAGAAAAAAAAATTAGGGTTTGGAAACCAGCTTCAAATAATTGGTAATTTCGCCGGAGATAATTGGGGATTTTGCCGGAATAAGCTGTGTACCGGCGGTTACCTGATTCCGGTTTCTTCCGGTGAGGTGCATTGCTTTGGCCTTCCAAGTTCCGACTATCAAAATGGAAGAGTTGAAGCACAAGTCGAAGAGAGAGGACGAGTCGAAGAAGCGCCACCGTGATAAGGAGGATCGAGATCGTGAAAAGAAGGACAGAGACCATCACCATCGTGATAAGAAGGATCGCGAGAGAGAGAAAAACAGTCGCTATGAAAGGGAGAAAAGTGCTGATAGAGATAGGGCAAAGCACAAGGATAGGCACAGTAGAGGAGATAAGGAGCGTGAAAAGAGCAGCAAGGTTCGTGATGATGATGAAAGACCTAGAGATAAAGTTAAAGAGCGAGAAAAGGATAAGGAAGATCGTGAAGAAAGAGAGAGGGAGAAAGAGAGGGAAAGGGAGAAGGAGAGGGAACGCGAGAGGGAGAAAGAGAGGGAAAGGGAGAAGGAGAGGGAGCGTGAGAGGAAAAGAGATAGAGAGAGGAGAGAAAGGGAGAAGGAGAAGGAGAAGGAGAGGAATCGCGAAAAGGATAGACACCGGGAAGTATATGAAAAGGGGAGTGATGATGAAGTTGATGCGAAGGATCGTGAAAGGAAGAGGCGAAAGAGGGATAATGATGATCATCACAAGGAGAGGGATCGTGAAAGGAGTAGCAAACCAAACAACAGGCTAAGGGAAGAGAGCACTGATGAAGTATCAGCTGAAAAGGATCAGAAGAGTCGAGAAGAGGATCTAGCTGAGGAGCAAAGGAAATTAGATGACGAGATGGAGAAGCGAAGGAGGAGAGTTCAGGAATGGCAAGAGCTAAAAAGAAAAAAAGAGGAGTCTGAGAGGGAGACACTTGGGGTTGATGCAGGTGCTGAAGAACCTAAGTTGGGCAAGACTTGGACATTGGATGGTGAGTCTGATGATGAAGATGCTGAGGGGAAAACTGGCATGGATATTGATATGGATGATAGTGGCAAGGTCATGGAAGATGAAAATGGAGCTGACAAGGTGGTTAGTTCTAGCATTGGATCTGATTCCCCTGTTATTCAGAATGGCAGTGATGGAATAGTTGACGATGATGAGATTGACCCGTTGGATGCTTTTATGAACAATATGGTTTTGCCTGAAGTTGAGAAACTTAACAAATCCGTAGTCAATAGTTTGGATGGTGAAAATTCCAGTTTGAAAGAGAAAAACGGTCTGAGGAAGGAAGAAAAGCCTAAGATGAGCATGAAGAAAACCACGGGAAGAATTATCCCCGGTGAAGATTCGGATTCAGATTATGGGAACGTTGAGAATGATGAAGATCCTTTGGAGGAAGAAGATGATGAAGAATTTATGAAACGGGTGAAGAAAACCAAGGCCGAGAAACTATCATTAGTGGATCATTCAAAGATTGAATATCCTCCTTTCAGAAAGAACTTCTACATAGAAGTTAAGGAGATTTCAAGAATCAGTGCTGAAGAGGTTTCTGCTTACAGGAAACAACTGGAATTGAAGATCCATGGCAAGGATGTTCCGAAACCAATCAAAACATGGCATCAGACTGGACTGTCCTCCAAGATGTTAGACACTATTAAGAAGCTGAATTATGAGAAGCCCATGTCTATTCAAGCTCAGGCTCTGCCAGTAATTATGAGTGGCCGAGATTGTATTGGGATTGCTAAGACAGGTTCTGGTAAAACTCTGGCATTTGTATTACCAATGCTGAGACATATTAAGGACCAGCCTCCTCTGATGTCTGGAGATGGTCCTATTGGGCTAATAATGGCCCCTACTAGAGAGCTTGTACAGCAAATTCATAGTGATATTAAGAAGTTTGCGAGAGTGATGGGTCTCACCTGTGTACCTGTGTATGGAGGTTCTGGTGTTGCTCAACAAATTAGTGAATTGAAACGAGGAGCCGAAATTGTTGTGTGCACTCCAGGTCGGATGATTGATATACTCTGTACAAGTGGTGGGAAGATTACAAATCTGCGAAGAGTCACGTATTTGGTCATGGATGAAGCTGATCGGATGTTTGATATGGGATTTGAACCTCAGATCACAAGAATTGTCCAAAACACTCGGCCTGACCGTCAAACAGTCCTGTTCTCTGCAACTTTTCCTCGTCAGGTTGAAATACTAGCTCGGAAAGTGTTGAACAAGCCTGTTGAAATACAGGTAGGTGGTAGGAGTGTTGTGAACAAGGATATAACACAATTGGTTGAGGTGAGGCCAGAAAGTGATAGATTCCTTCGGCTTCTTGAGTTACTTGGTGAATGGTATGAAAAAGGTAAAATTTTGATATTTGTTCACACACAGGAGAAATGTGATGCTTTATTTAGAGATATGATCAAGCATGGTTATCCCTGTCTCTCCCTTCATGGGGCAAAAGATCAGACTGATCGTGAGTCCACCATATCCGACTTTAAAAGTAATGTATGTAATTTGTTGATTGCTACTAGTATAGCAGCCAGGGGCTTAGATGTCAAGGAGCTTGAACTGGTAATCAATTATGATGTTCCGAACCATTATGAGGACTATGTTCATCGTGTTGGGCGGACTGGTCGAGCTGGTAAGAAAGGTTGTGCCATCACATTCATATCCGAAGATGATGCAAGATATGCACCTGATCTTCTAAAAGCTTTACAATTGTCGGAGCAAGTTGTTCCAGATGACCTGAAAGCTCTTGCTGATGGTTTCATGGCAAAGGTTAATCAGGGACTTGAGCAAGCACATGGGACTGGTTATGGTGGTAGTGGTTTTAAATTTAATGAAGAAGAGGATGAAGTGAGAAGAGCAGCCAAAAAAGCACAGGCAAAGGAATATGGATTTGAGGAAGATAAATCAGATTCAGAGGATGAAGATGAAGGAATTAGAAAAGCAGGTGGTGACCTCTCTCAGCAGGCTGCCCTTGCTCAGGCTGCTGCTCTTGTTGCTGCTTCCAAAGCGAGTATGGCTTCAGCAGCAGCTCCAGTTTCAGCTGGTCAGCTTCTTCCCAATGGTGGATTACCTGTTGCATTGCCTGGTGTACTTGGTATTAATATACCAGGTGCAACAGCAGTTGCTGCTGGAAATGGACTATCAGTTGGCTCTAATGATGTGACAGCCAGAGCAACAGCATTGGCAGCTGCCTTGAACTTGCAGCATAACTTGGCAAAGATTCAGGCCGATGCAATGCCTGAACATTATGAAGCAGAATTAGAGATAAATGATTTTCCTCAAAATGCTCGTTGGAAGGTTACACACAAGGAGACGTTGGGTCCTATTTCTGAATGGACAGGAGCTGCCATCACCACTCGAGGACAGTATGTTCCACCTGGCAAGGTACCAGGGTTTGGGGAAAGGAAGCTGTACTTGTTCATTGAAGGCCCTACGGAGCAATCTGTCAAGAGAGCAAAAGCAGAATTAAAACGTGTATTGGAGGACATTACCATGCAAGCATCATCACTTCCTGGTTCGGCTCAACCGGGCAGATACTCAGTTGTATAAGAATGAATGCCATTGTCATTTGATGTTTCATTTTTGTCTATTATCTTTTCCGGGCAAATTATTTCCTAAATTTTGTTACTCAATTTGGAGATGACTTACTTTGTAATGATATAAACAGGTTTAACTAGATACATGATTCTCAGTGATCAGCCATGGTTAGTTCCTCTCCTATATTATTTTATAAATCCTGTTATCTGTATTACTTGATTCCTTTACTGATAGTACCATCAAAGCTGCTATTTGAATTTAAACTGACACAGGGAGATGACAAAGAGTTGTCCAGGAAGAAGCATGGTATTCAGTCACCCCGACTAATATCTTGTTAGGAAAGAAAAACCTGTGGTAACTTTTATAACACAATTACTTGAATTTCTATTTACTCATGTTATAGAGTAGCAGAATTGCTTGGATTTTTCTATGCATGAGGAATCATCATATGCTCAAGGTTGATGACGATTTTCATGATGGCACTGCTCCATATACCTAATGGACTGTGAGACGACTACTAGAGCAAAGGTATATTGACTAGATTCAGTGTTGTCTTTCCATCTTCTTTGTGGATTTGGTAGTAAATGAAAACAGGTACTGACTTTTTATATTTCTAAAATGTTAAACCTTTTTTAAAAAAA